GGCCGCGGCCGCCTTGACAGCGGCGGGATCGGCGAGCACCGCTCGATCCCTCGCTTTCAGCGATGCCAGGTTCTTCCTGTACTCCCGCTCCAGCTCGGCCTTACTCTCGCGTTGCAGCCGCGGCACCCAGATCCAGTCTCGACGAAGATGCGCACCAGGCGCGGCACGGTGGCCAGCGCGTTGAAGATGACGCGGTTCTGCCACTTCATGCCCTTGCTGCCGAACTCCCACGGCGCCATGCCCGCCACCACGCCCACGCCCTTGACTTCACCCTTGGGGAGAGCGTATGCGCAGGCGAGAGCGTACGGCCCGCCGCCAGACTGCCCAAACACATAGTACGCGCGCAGATTGAGATGGCGAGCCAGCTGGCGGAGATCCCCGGGCAAGTCGAGGATGCGCCGGTTGGGTTGAAATGAGGAGAGGCCGAAGCCCGGTCGGTCCATGCAGATGATCCGCACGTGTAGCCTGGCTGCCGTATCGTGCCACTCGACACCATCCGCCCGCGAGCCGACGTAGCCGTGTAAGAAGAAAGCCGGAATCCCATTGGGTGAGCCGTACTCGGCAAAGCCGAGCGTGCGGCCATCGGAGAGCGTGAAACTTTGGCTTAGCCGGCGAGAAGAAAGTGACTCGGGAGCTGTAAAGGACGGCTTGCTTCCAATCCTCCGGCGGAGGAGGAGGTCGCGTAAAGCTTGGTTTCTTTGTAGGCCCCATGCGCGGGATACGGCGAGTGGGAATGGAAGACGCGTTCGGTGATGAGATGGAGCTGTGCCTAGCCCGCGCGAGGTGGTTTTCTGGCTCCAAGAATGATTTATTCCCAGCTGAAGCCTGTTCAACAGCGGCCGGATGCACGGCCGGGGCACGGTCACCCTGCCATATCTGATGCTTGCCATCTGTGACCAAGCAGACGTGGCCTTCTGGTTGGAGGTGGTCATCAGCTGGGTGTAAAGCGGGTGGGTTAGGGCTAGGGCATCAGCAGTTGGGTTCGGGGGTATTGGGCAGAGCTGATCGGAGTTCTAAACGTGACCTTGGGAATGTTGTTTAGAACATAGACCTTCCCACCCGACAGCTCCGTCCCAGCAGTGACCATATCATGACCATATCATGACCATATCATGACCATCCTGTCCCATTGCATCCTGGGTTCGAGGTTGCAAGCAACATATTGCCCAATCTGGCCTGTGGCTGATGCTGAGCTAGGGGGTCGGTCCGGGTAGTCTAAGCCCACACTGGTTAGTCTCTGTGGCAGTATGATGCTGGGCTTTGAATTCTAGGGTCCTTTGCCCGAAGACGTCTCTGTAGTGGTGCGATGGACGTTCAACAGGGCATCTGATATCTCCAGTGTGATATCTCCAGTGTGCTTCTGCACTAATCAAGGAACCACTTGTAACTTGTTCGCATCACTCCAGCTCCTTGCTAGGAAATCTCTCCAGTATCCTGTATCCAGAATCCAGGGATAACAACGTGGAATTTGTTCGGCAAGCCTGGAGTGGCAATAATCTTACACTTACACCAGTCTCGGGCCTGCTCTAGCACATGCATATTGTGTATTCTATCCCTATCCTCTGCCCTCCTCAGTCCTCAGTCCTGTCCATGAACAAGTCTACCACCAATCCACACCCTCTTCACATTTCTGTCATCGCCATTCCAAACCCACTTGGCGACCTTCTCTTCCCAAAACTCCCAACCAAACAGATCAACAGCACTTGATTCACCCTTACCATTCCCATCAACTCTGCCCAGCCCAACCTCTTGAACATCCCAGAGCATTCCCTCCCGAAAAGCCCCCATTCGTCCCTCCATGCCCACCACCTTTGCCCCACCCACCGTTGCCAGATGTAGCCCCTCCGCCAAGCCAATATTGTATTTGGTATTCCCACCAGCATGATATGCCACCGTCCTCGAAACCAAATATGCCTGCCTCACCGCCTCCAGCACGCTCAAAGAAAACCCACCACTAACATCTGTCCCCAAACCAACGTCGATCCCCTCCTCCAACAGCGTCCTCACAGGGCAATACCCTGACCCCAACGCCGAATTACTAGCCGGACAATGCGCCACTTTGGCCTTCCTCTCCCTCACCAGTGCCCTTTCTTCCTTGCTCAGGTGCACAGCATGCGCCAAGATCGTCTTCTCGCCCAACAACCCGGCGTCGTCATACACTGCGGCGTAAGAATCCGAATCCGGGAACATCCTCCTCACCATCTCGATCTCCGAGGTAGTTTCCGAGATATGCGTTTGCACCATCAGGTGCTCCTGCTTCGCCAGCCTCGCCAGCGCAGTCAACGTAGAAAGCTGACAGCTCGGCGCAAACCTGGGCGTGAGTATTGGCTTGATCCTCTCCCCGCTCGGGTCTAGCGTTCTGCAGTGCTCGACGCAAGCCCTCGAGTTCGCCATGCTGACCTCCGTGCTCTCGTCGCGGTAGTACTCCGGGCATGTCCTCGCTTCGTCCATGCACACACGCCCAATCAGAGCGCGTTGACCAAGCTCGAGGGCGAGATCGGCCAATGCGTTCGTGGCTTCGACGTGGATGGTGGCGTAGTAGGCTGCGGTTGTTGTTCCGGATGCGAGGGTGCGCGAGATGACGCGGCGGTAGATCTGTTTGGCGCGGGTGAGGGGGTCGGTGGGGGCATTGTGCGTGGGATGACTGGTGTATAGGGGTGAGTTGGGATTGCCGAGGGATGATTCTAGGGGGAAGGTGTAGGTTTCTAGCCAGTCGAGGAGGGTGGATTGCCCGAAGATGCCGGTGTTGGGGTATTGAGGGGCGTGGATGTGGGTATCTGCTTGTGGGTTAGATAAGATGAGACTTCACTATTGAAGAAAAGTGTGAAAACTTGGTAGTGAAAGCGGGTTGATGTTTTGCTTTCCGTCTCATGAGATAAAGTAGGACAGCGAGGCGACGTGCACAGGACAAGGGAGAAAGGGTGTCGCAGAGATTTCGAGGATGGTCAAGCGCGTAGTCTTGCAGTCAGAATCCCTCCCTTTCCAAAGAGTGCGTCCGCGCTTCCCCTTTCCTCCTCTTCCTTCTCTTGGTCTTCAGCTCACAGCCTTTATTTAATGCCTCCAAGGACTTCGCCCTCTTACAGCTCCAGCCCACGACTCAAATTCCCTGCTCGCATCCACACCCAGCAGCGCCCTCTCCCAGGCCCCTACCAAAACACAACTCGAGACACCGCATCGAAACATCCCAGATGCACAATCGAATGCAGAAACCTGGAGAAAAGAAAAGACAGACTCACCAACAAACCCCGGAAACCAGAACCCATTCCCCTCTCCCTCCCCCAAAGTCCTCACCCCAACCTCCTCTCCCACCCCGAACACCGCCCTCGCCTCCTCCGCCGACCTAACGCTCCAATCACACTTCTCAATAACACCCCCGGCGGAAACCAGCACGGCCCCATCTCGAATCTCGAGCCCTGCCTCCGGTCCAGCATGGGGCGCGGAGATGAAAGTGCCTAGATAGACCGTCCGAGGCACAGAGGAAGCCATGCCATCCGATAAGGAAGCGCGCATGCCCGGTTCGCGCCGCCCAAGTGAATCCAAAATCGAGCGAGGGTCGGTAGAATGCCGAGTGCGCAGTCCTCAGGGTAATCCCAAAGAGACTTCAGATTGAGACGCCAGAAAAAAATATTCCGCGCGGATTCCCGAGCGGAGGGCGAGTGACATCGATGGGAAAAGAGATGGAATTCACGGGTGGATAAAACCCCCTGATCCCAGTGAGGTTCAGGGTGTGAAAAAGTAGTTATTAGGAAGAAATCTTTCCTCTGCAAGGAGATCTCGATTTTTTCGGTTATTTGTTTGATGGTGGTGTAAGTATCCAGGATCTTATCAATGGATGGAATACGGGGTTCCTAAGGTTCCTAAGTACCCAAGCTCAGCGCATTTCGGAGGAGGCCGATCACACTTCATCCTCGTTTCTCTCCTCCCCGCTGCTCTCCGTGCATAGAAGATTGAGTACGTGACGTGAGCTATTGGAGCTGTTCAAGGGTCAATGGGAAAGGGCAATATCAACGTGATGCTTTACGTGAAGCTTTACGTGAGGTATTCGGGCAGCTATGTATCAGGGTTACATCTTGCCAATCTCACACAGGTCTTCTAAACAGCTGGTCTAAGGATACCTACTTCCAGAGTCTTCGATGTACAGCAGCACGATGTCTCCATACAGCTAAGGTCGCAAGGACACAGTGCCCACATCGCGTTCCCACAGAACAATGCAGAGAAGGCTTCAATAACATGCTTCAAATGCTTGCTCTCCTGGGCGCCATTGTCCTTCTCAACCCCTTCTCCTCCTCCGACTCATCCCAATCTCCAACCACACCTTTGAGATCACCCTTCTCCCTTACTTTAGCTAGAAACTCCTTGCCATATGCATAACCCAGCTCATATATCTCATCGAATTTGGCAAACTCCAGAGTACCATATGCATCGATTGGAGGTCTCATGTACAGACAGCCCGGCGTGGTCTTTGCTCTCTCAAGTGCATCATGACTGCTGACATATGCCAGCCGGGCCTGGATCTCAGAGAGAGTGGGTGGATTAGGATACGGAGAGAATGGATTCCAGCGGTTCAAGAGAGCCCAGAAGCCGGAAAGGGAGTCGCCAAATTGCTGAGGCGTATTGTCGTCAACGCTGCCAACGTCGATGGCAAAGACGACATCCGCCCCCAGAGATTTCATGTGGGCGACTGTCAGATTATCCACGTAGCCGCCATCCAAAAGCATGCTGCCTTCGTCACAGAGAGGTGGAATCAAGCCTGCAAGAGACATACTAGCCCGAACGTAACGCCAAACGTAACCCGAAGTGTGGATCTCTGACCTTGATTTGCTGATGTTGGTGGTGTTACAGTAGAACTCCAACCAAAAGTCTTCTATCTGAGAATTGCCAAACGTCTTGAAGATGCCTCGGTTGAACTCATGTCCAGTGGTGTAAGAGGCGGAAGGATATGTGAGGTCCAGCGCAAAACGCCACATGCTCCCCATCCGGCCGGCAAATTTCTTTGCTCGGCCATACATGGGAAGGACGTCTGCATCTCGAGCATAAAGAGCTCCGATGAACGCACCGATGGAGGTCCCACCAACGATGTCAATAGGTATACCAGCTTCTTCAAGGGCACGAATGATACCCACTTGCGAAATGCCGCGTGCTCCACCACCACCAAGCACGAGCCCAACTGATTTCCCACACAGTCGTCGTGCAAGGCGGTAGAAGTCGCCTTTGTAAGGAGTTTCAGCCGAGTAGGAAGGAGTTTGGCGGACACGCCGAGATGTATATTTCTGAATTTCTGCTTGTATGACTTGGACTCGCTGCTTGATCGCAGATCCAAGACGTCTTGTCTGCGGGTGAGGTGTTGTCTCCGGAGTGGTTCGGAACGCCATCTGTATGTGGTGATGGCCTCCATTGATCCACACTCGATTCTTGAGCCATTTCCGAGTTCGCCCAGGAGGAGAATATCGTTCAGCGTGCAACAACACAAGCTCTTTCCGGGCCGTGGTCTTCATGCCAAGCAAGAATCTCTCGTACTCACCAACGTTTGGGGAGCCTTCTGCAAGTCCAACAAGAAGGATGCAGTCGGCTTGCGTGATACAGGTCTGTGTCCAAGGTGCATTGACATTGGTGTCCGCAATGTATAGTACCATACCGAACTTCTCTTCTAGATCTGCAAGATATTGGGAGAGTTTCAGCCTTCCCATTCGACTAAACGCATGTCTTCCAAGGACATTCAATATAGCTGCTTGGTTGAGCGAGGTGACTCCGTTGGAAATGCCAATTTGAGTGAAAGCAGTCAGAAGACGATTTCCGAACTCAACTACTGGAACTCCAGCGGTCACAGGCAGTATAGCCACGGTTCGCAAATTGACCGAGGAGCTGAAATTGCTGGTCCCTGTAAAACTAGAATTGTGCGAGCCTGTTTCGGAGAGTGGATCATCGATGAGTGCCCGCATTCGCTGGGCAATCAGCTTGGTAATTTGGATGGTAATTCCAGGATGTTCTTGTGCAAGACTGTTGAATAGCGACCGAGGAAACTTTGCAAGCTCGGTATCTCGGATGGCGTGCAGGGTCGCGGCTCTAGGCGACTCTGTCATGACCTCGAGCTCGCCAATACTTTCTCCTTGTCCAAATTCATCAACGACTCTCATACTACCATCTTCCTTTTCGAGTACGGAACGCAGTCGACCGTTGAGCACGATGTAGATAGCATCGCTATCATCTCCCTGGTGATGGATAACTTGTCCAGCATTGACCTGCACCCACTCCAGCGCAAAGTCTATGTGGAGTAGCAAGCGAGGCAACAGGCTTGTCAATCTTTTTGCCATCGTCAATAGCACAACAGGGTACCTATCGGCGAATCTCTCCAGAGATGCTCTGGGCAAAAACCCAACATAAACATCTGTCTTAGCAGTAACATCTGTGAACGACCTGTACGACGAGATTGTACCGATGTAACCAGCTATGCCACCTGGCTTTATCAAGAAGAGGGATTTTCGACCTTGGTGCCTTCGCCCATCTCTTGACTTGCCACGTACAGAAGAGTTACGTGATGAGTTAGTTATGGTCTTACGCAGCGTAGGAAACGCGTCTTCTGAGGAATGGCTTTGACGTGTTGTGTTGGGGAATCCGGTTCTGTCATGGCTTGATCTGTCCTCCTTTTCATCGACTGGTACGCTCACATCAAGAAATCCATCGATGACATAGTATACGCCAGGATTACGCTCACCCTGCTCCACGAGCACTGATCCTTGAGGGAAGAACACAATCTCCACATCGTCGATCAATTCATCATTCAGATTTCGATCGTGCATGGTGCCTGCTAGACTAGTGCCTGAGTTGGATATTGCCGATTCTGACTCCGCATCCGCAGAGGTCTCGTACGCATCCATGAAACCAAAGGCATTGTTGAAGACGGCTGTTTGCCGCCTTGAGTCATATGAAATCAGGCGTGGCGACTGCTCCACAGATGAGTTACCCTTCGGTAAAGCGTCCAGAGCATTCATTGTGAGGCCTAAAGATTTGATCATGCAACCAAGCACAGATTCTCTGAGGATGCTATCTTCGTCCACAGATTGCTGGCGGTGCAATAATCCATTTTGAGGGCCGGGTCGAAAAAGTGGCTGCTCCTGTTCGATAAGCGGGCTGCCAAGTGGCGTTAGTGGGTGGATAGATGGCGCATATGGTGTTCGCGGACTGTGAACTTGGTCAGAGCGATGCCCTCGTCTTGAGATTTGCATATTGGATATCAAATCCCCTGGACTGACATGTCGCTCTCCCTCGAGCTGATGGTTCAACGTTGACACAGACAAAGAACTGGACCTTGTTGCAGCGAGTTTTGAAGACAACAGGGCTTCCTTTCTCATGGTAGAAGATGAACGTCTTCTATTGCTAACTGGGTTATGCAAAGCAATTCCTTTCATACTCTCCTCATGACCAATGCGATCCCTCTCTTTCTTGAATTTGTCCTTTAAACGATTAAGAGCATCGCCTCGAAGATGATTGGGAAGATCATAGCTGGTATACTTATTCATCATCTGTTCCATATGTAGAACCTCTGTCGTAAGACCAAGATAACCATGCGCAGTGGACAATGTCACACGCTGTAGCCGTGTCAGAATCACTTGAACAACATGAGCTGTTGCCTTCGGATATGTCCTAGTAAGTCTTCGAAACGCACTTGCCGGGATAATAGCTATGGTGGTATCAACCATAGCTCTGGCCACAATATCGGGATGCGCTGATTTGGTCTTGCCACCTCTACCGCGCATAGAAGAACGTTTCGATTGATGCGCTTCTTGTTCTGAGGTGGGCGTCATAGAGTCGAGTGTTAGAGGAGGCACGCTAGGAAGCTGTTCTTTGGTATCACCACCTCTAGTCGGAGGTCGTCCGTCCGCTGGCCATCCTTTTCGAGGGCTCGGAGGAAATTCCACAGGGCTCATGACCGCCGAATCTGGAGTACGCTGATTTTGACCAAAGCTTGAACCGCTGGAATGTTGGTCTTCTGTTCGAAGTTTGACATCTTCCGTGAATAGAGACAGAATCGAAAAGAGGGAGGACATAGATGCACCATTTTTCACTTCCGTCAAGAGCTGGTAACGTAGATTGCCTTGCAAGTGTTGATCCTCTTCATCGCCAAATAAGCCTCCACTGTGCTCTTCATTTTTGCTGCGATGCCTTCCCTGCAGAGACTTGACAAAAATCTGCACCAGACCATCAACAACAAGACAGAACCCCTTCTCTTCTTCCAGCAATAGCGTCTCTCCCGCAATCAATTTTCTCGTTTGCATCGTTCGAGTAAGCTCATGAAAGACTGGCCGTTCCAGATAGCCAAAGACTTTGAAAGCTTCCAAGAACTCGTCCAGATAATTGGCCAACCCTGGCTTCGAGTCTCCCTCCTGCGAATCTGGAAAGAGATCGATCTGGGCTTCCTTCCGCTGTGGCTCGGGAGGAAGTCTGGTGTACATGTTGAGGAACCGATAGCGTACAAACCAGCTGACGGTCGATACGATTGCGAGGACAATCAGGAGACTTGGAACACGATCAGAATGCACATGTCAGTCACCTGGTCTGGAGATACATACAGAGTAGTGGCATTCATCGTGAAGGTCAGAGTGGTAGAGAACAATGTGAACAGCCATGTCGGAAGTGTTATGGTGGTAAATGTGATCAGCCAGACTAGAATTCCGGGTATGATTCTCAACACGAAGAGCACGAATCTACAAAACGCACCCCACATGTTGGGCTTCGCATTACCGTGATCGACTTGGGCAGATAGAGACTGCTCCGCAGTCAAAGTGGCATAATGGGCGAGCGAGCTGGGATTACTGCTCGATAGCGTAGAGGCAAGGGTCATGGCGGGGAGATCCACAGCGGACGACATCGTGAGTCTATTGACCCATTCGAGGTGTCTGGATGCAGCCTGTAGATCAACATGACGAATACTAAGCCTTGATGTATTGCACGTGTTATGGAGCTGGAGTGCTGTGGAAGGCTCGGAATGAAACAATCTTTGGAACCATGGGAGAAGTTGCGCCGGGAGCAACCGCTGGTGCACAGTTGTAGGCTTGTAGCAGCTGTGCAGTTGCCCTCGGTCGGCCACCGTCATATTCACTGTTATTCCTCCACTCAGGCTACAGCATTTCAGCACCATCAAAGCAGCACATAAACTCAATCACAGCAGATGATCTATTCTGCCGCCCTCTGTCGTCTCACTGTTATCGTGGCCTCCGTTCCGTAGTTGCCATCCCTGTCCTCAGTATCCGCTCCATCGCACCCTCAGTTTGGCCTAGTCATTGGCACTCCATCGAGATTGACAGACAGCATGTCAGGGCTTGACAAGGCTCTCTTCAATCTAAAGGTAAGCAGGCAAAGGTTGAATTGACACACTCCAGTGTTTTGGAAGCACGATCTACAATCAAATCTTATTGCGCTCCTATTTCTACAGACCCACTAATACCCTCTATCTCAACAGTTCACGTCGAAACAGCTCAATAGACAAGCCGCAAAAGCCGATAAAGACGCTCGAGCCGAACAAGCTAAACTGAAGAAGGCTCTTACCCAGACTCCTCCCCAACCACAAATTGCCCGCCTCTATGCCACATCGTCAATTCGCAACTCGAAACAGAGGGTTGACCTTCTCACACTCGCCGCACGAATCGATGCCGTTGCAGCACGGGTCCAGACAGCCATCACTATGCGAACCGTCACACAGTCAATGGCGCAGACAGTCAAGGGGATGGATGTGGCGCTGAAGAGCATGGACTTGGAAAAGATAGGTGCGGTGATGGAGAAGTTTGAGTCACAATTTGAGGATCTGGATGTCGTAGGTGGCTATTACGAGGGTGTGGCGGGTGGCGTAGAAAGCCAACAGGTGGGTGTGGAAGGCCATGGCGAGGTAGATGCTCTGATGAGTCGTGTCGCGGACGAAGCTGGTGTAGAGTTAAGTCAAGGCTTGGAGCAGGGTCAGGTACCGAATGAAGAACTTAGCAACAAAGAAGGAAAGCAAAAAGAGCAAGCAGCACTCGAAGAAGGATTAGGCGATCGGCTGAGGGCATTGAGGAATTGAATCGTCTTGTGCTTGTCACCACAGGGGTACATGGTGAATGGCGTTCGGACTGGGCTGTACGGTTTGAGCGAGAATAAGACAGAATGCTTTAGGTGGTTTGACATAAGACGACAGCAAGAGTCATGAGTCCCGTGAAGAACTATAGGGACACACTTGGCATTCTACCCATCAGTCACCGTGGAGCTGGTCTTGATGCTGGTGTCCACATCGCGTGCACGATTTGGAACTCATTCGATGATTCTGTTTGCCTTGTCTGTAACATGGAAGACGAATGAACAATCGATACATGGCACCTGTTTCCGTGGATAGATCCTGCCTAAGCACAGAAAACCCCCATCCCAGCTGGAGAAACGACTGTCCGTTGCCAACATCATTCATGCCTTTCAAACAGTATCAAGTGACCTGCTCCGGAGTACTCTCAGGTAACCTTGACCTGATAACATAGTCGGCAATCTCAATGCGAATCTGTAAGTATCTACAGGTCCCACGCAAATGAAAAGGTCAATTTCTCCAGCGTGTTGCCTCCCTAAGAGCATAGGAATTGAGCTCTCTGGGTATCATTCGCGCCATGCTTCCTTGCAATCAAGAATCTACCTATCTCTATTGTTATCCTGCATGGCGTTGCTACTTTCTTGGGTGCCTCTGATCCTAAGCGTTCAAATACCACAATGGGAATTCCCAGATTGATCCAAACCCTACAGCCCTTTGCCGAAAGAGCCATCATAGGCAACAACAATCCAGAAACCCAGCTAACCAGCAACGACACCACTTCAATACACCCTAGAGTGAGGTTGGTAGTCATAGACGGCCCTTCTCTAGTCTATCATGTTTATCATCGTCTCCTTTCACTCAAAGCCGGTCAACAAGAAAAAGAAAATGCAAAACCAGACAACACACCTCGACATATTGAACTGTCTACTAGACATCCACTCCTATTCCAGCCTAGCTATTCAGAAATAATCCAGTCAGTCCTAGCTTTCATAAACCATCTCACTGATCAACATGGCATCGAGGTCCAAAAGATCTACTTCGATGGTGCTCTTCCAGCCTCCAAGAGTGACGTTAGGCTAGCAAGGCTGGAAGATGGCAGAAAGAAGTTACAAGAGTTCAGGCAACTTCAATCCCATTTAGGTTCCCAGAGTCGTTTTGTACACCGTCCAATTGAAACCACTTCTTCCATTTTCTCAAGCATCTCCAAAAATGACACCCAGACTGTGAAGAGGAGTTCAGATGGGGTCCAGCAGCAGTTGAATCCGGAAGCCCTCTTCCACTATGCAAGTCCTTTACCGCCGAGTTTCAAAGCGATGCCAACACCGCCGTTTATGGTTGCAGCTGTGATTGATCATCTTCGATCTCAGCTGGACTTACAACCAGCAACAAGTTTCTCATCTAACCCACAACCCTTACCGTCGCGCTCAGCCCTCATACAACTCGTACCAGCCGAGGCAGACGCCTATTGTGCTGCTTATGCCAGAAAGAAGGGGGCAGCGATCTTGACATCGGACTCTGACCTGCTAGCCTACGACTTGGGCAGGGAGGGCTCCGTAATCCTCTTAGACTCGATACGGCTTTCCACGCTGTCTGAAGAAGAAAATGCTAAGCAGGTATTGCTCGGCACTAGATACCATGGCCCTTCTCTCACCTCAGCCCTTGGCATATCCTGTACTCTACAGCGCTTCTGCTTTCGTCGACTCCTCGACCCGACCATCAGCACGTCCGAGCTCAAATCACGGTGTCGTAAACCTTTGAATTCGCGATTAGGAGCAGGCATGGAAGAAAAGTGGAGACGATTCATACAGCAGTATTCCACGGATGACGTTGATTGTCAGCAGGAGGAAGAAGCATATGATCTTGCAAGGTACAGTCACAAAATCCCACCGACCCAATTACAAGGCCTTGATCCAAGGATAGCCGAGCTAGTCACACAACTGCAGCATCCGAGGCCGTGCTCCAGTGTCTCGGGCACAGAAGACAAGGGACCTAATAATGAGGAAACGACCGGAGACGAAGACGGAGAATATGACGTCCACATGTACCTCCCTCTCCTTATTGAAGACACATCCCGAGACTCCGCCTGGAGTTATGGAAGTTCTGTACGGCATCTGGCATACACAATCCTTCTATATCATACGCCTATCCTTCCTCCTTACATTGCAGCTGCAAAGCGACGACGTGCAAGAAGAATCAAAGAGTATCAACGGCGAGGCTCCAGAATCGTAGGTCTACCCCTCGATCCAGACTTAAACGCTGCTTCCAACGAAATAGAGCCTCAGGTCGAAAAACTACTCCAATCCATCCGCTCGCATGAACAACATTTCGCCTCCCAATCCGAAACCACCATTGAAACCACGCTTATAGCTTCGCCGTCTCGTTTCTGGAAATCCTTTGCCCTCCACCTCGTATCCGAGCAACGCCTTCTCAGCGCCAAACCACCACCCAACAACAACTGGGCAGAGAGTTATCTCACACCTCAGCATATGCCCTATCTCCCTTCCTCATGGGACGATGTGCACAACCAAGCAAGCGTGGAGGCGGTACTCTACAACCTCAGAATTCTGAAGCAGATTGCGAGTTTTGCTATCAGGTATGACAGTTCGAGAACCAACGAAGACGAAAGCAGGGATAAAAATGGAGTGACGGAGCGGGTGAGAGCGCTGATCGATGTCTTGGCAAGTCTGCCGCCAATCGAGCAGCTCATGGACCCCGAGCAGGTGGCCATGGCCCCGCCGAAGCCAGAGGGGCAGGCGAGAGCAACACACCAGCGACCAAGACATGATGGACGCAAGGATGCAGCCGCAAGGGAATGGCACAGCCAACCACGCGCAGTCCCCATGCAGAGTTTTAAGTGACCCGTCGCAGACCTCGTCAGATCGCACGAAGAGACAAAAGACAAATGGCCGGAGCAAGCATGGGAGGGCTGCCGCCGCCGGGAAACGAAGCGTCACCATCGGGAACGGGTTCGCCGCCTTGGAGATGGACGAGTGAAGACACTCGCTTGTGCTCAATCGGCCATCATCACGTATCTCATACCGTGCTGACGATCACCATCTGGAGGTGATCAGGTAGGAGAGAGCCTTGGGGTGGTGTGTACGTAACTGGACTATGTAAAATGAAGAAGGATTGACACGCCTCCCTTACGCGGCACGTCCTCTCATTCGGCGTTTGCTCGAGATTGGAATCGCAGTCTCATTGCACACGTCTCAGCCGTTGAGACGCTGCTGTTGGGGATTTTTTCTCCTCTTTCCTCTTCCAATGACACCATCTCCTTCCTTCCCCCCCGGTTCTCAACTTTGTTCTTCTTGATGAAGAGAGATACCTTCAAAGCTGAAGGGCTCATTCTTCACATACAGAAGGGAAGGAGAAAGCATTACTAACTAACTTAGCATGCTGAGAAGACAGATGCAGAGACCCTTTCGAGGAGCTGGGGTGAGATGATTCTGATTTCCTCCGAAGTGTGTAATTTGATTGGCTTTTTTTTGGATTTTGATATCATCTACCCTCATCGCATGGCATTACATGATGGAATGTACTCACAAGTCCAGTCACACAGCCCTCCATCATCTCGACCTCCTCTCCCTGTTAGCAGATCTCCTCATATACTGCCCGTATTTCGCCAATACAGCATCTCTCGCCTCATCGCCTACCATCACGGCTTTCGCGGACCTCTCATCCAAGACCTGCCCCGTATCCCTCCTCACCATCACATTGCTCCTCCCCCGACCTCCCTTATTAAAAACCGGTCCGCTCAAATCCTGCCCATTATTGCTCCCATCGTCAACAATGATCCCCCATTCCGCCACCTCCCCGCCAGGCTCACTACTGTCGAATTTGTCCTCACCCAAAATCCCCTGATTACCCCTTATATACAGAGTCGCATACCTCGCCCCATCAGTCCCACCAATAAGCACCGCCTCATTCAACGTCACGAGCGTGGTATTGGAGCTGTACGGCACCACATCCGCCACGCTCTCGACATCAAATGGGATGGCGACCTCGACTGGATCTTGCGACGCGACGACGATTGCGGTGGTAGGGTCATAAAACTGTGGATTAGTGTCACTTCCACTCCCGTTGTGGAACTCAATGCGGTATGAGACAGGCGGGTACTGCGCCCAGTCGAAGTAGAAAGATGTCACTCGGCTGCCCTCCCCTCCGACGGGTAATTCGACAGTACACGGAAGCCTCAACGTCAGCACTAGCGGGCTGCCAGGTCGTGCTCGCTGCGCCGTCAACAGCGCTGATGGCGATTTGGCCTGGGACGACGGGGTCAGTAGACCATACGGGTTGACATTGGGCAAGGTTTCCAGGAATGGTTTTGATATCTGCTGGCTGTCGGTTGGGGATTGATATCGAACCGTTCGGGGGTAGGGAGAGCATGGGCGAGGTAGCGTTGTTGTCTGAGCCGATGATGACGGGAATGGGTGAATCAGCGAAGGTGGCGTTTGCGGTTTCTAGCGGGGTTGATAGGCGGGTCAGGGTTGTGCCTGTGTGATTGCTGTGTGCTTCAATCGGCCAACCTTGCCAGTAGAAGGTGCGATAGCGGATCTGGGGGATTTGTGGGGGTAAGGTAGGATCAATGTGCAGGTAGCCATCTGGGATGAGGCGGAGCCCGAGATAGCCGAAGAGGACAACTTGATTGGCACCGCCATGGCCGGTCAGGAAAGGGAAAGCGGGGTGGAAACCGCCGTTGATTTCGAAGTTGTCAAGGAGTTGTTCGGAGAACTGGAACCAGGGGGCTCGAACGTAGGGTCTCTCAGAGTATTGTTGGTAGGTGTAGGCGGAGCAGCCGGACGGGGAAACTTCACTAGCGACAATGGCGAAAATGGCATAAGTCATGCCGGGGCCGTCTTGGGATTGTTTCGCAGCGTAGTAGTCGAGGTCGTCCAGACTGTTCTCCTGAGTGTAGTTCATTCCTTTGTAGCTTAGTGGATAGGTTACTAGGACGACATCGGCTTGTTTGACGTTGATAGAGCCATTCATGCCGGTGTATTCAAGGATAATTCCTGCATTCTCGTTACGGTCGATGAGGACGTTCTCAGCTTGCTCGTTCCAGGTGACGTTCGGTTCGATCCCGAATTTGGAGCGGAACATGTTTGCCGTCGTTAGAGTGTCTGCTATAAGTGGCATGGTGAACCCACCGTTATCGACACCGTTTGCGAATTCATCTGGATCGGTCATATTCTTCAACTCGTACCGACCATCTGCATTCTCCTCCAGAACTTCCGACAAGAAGGTAGCCATTGAGTCATAGATTGGAAATAGTTCTTGCTGAAAAAATTCTGTATCCCCAGTAACAACCCAGTAATTCTCGAACTCCAATGCAATATCACCATTGAGATGGTATTCGTAGTCGAAACATGGTCCAGCTGCTGTGCAATTGCCATATCTGCCGCTAATCCATGGATATGCTGCAGCGTTGTCAGAGAATGTTGTGTCGTTCTTGGATGATTGATACGCCGTCGATGGATTATCCAGCGCTTGTGAATATGTATAGACTCGATATTCCGCGATACCTTTAGCTGCTTGCGGAAATGCAGCGACAAGACCTGGTTGCATCCATATTTCTGCATCCCAAAAGATCCATCCAGCATATGCATCTGAGGCAAGACCACCAACGGCAATACTGTGCTGGTTTACCAACGTGTTGTTGTTGATAGCTGCCAAGGCATTGACCCCTACCGTATTCTGAAGTATGTAAAAGGGGTTGACGACCGCTACGATTGCTGACTCGATAATGTACTCGTCGTCTGGCAGAGAGCCATCGTCAAGGTTGTAGCTGTCCACAGAATCTTCACGGAAAATGGCTGCCCATTCGTCGACATGACTCTGCAACACAGCATCAAATCCAGCCTCCATTGCAGACATTGCGGCTTCCACAGCTGTGGAGTTTGCATCCTCAAAAGCATCTGTCGAGGCGATACCGACGAATTTGGTGAATGTCGCTGTTTGGCCGGCAACCAAGGCCACGTCAAACGCCTGAGCAATGGACGATTCGTTATTGCCAATATATGGTCTGCTCATGACGTCCCAAGCAGAAACAGAGGATTCTGCCCCTCCAAGTGTCATGCCAGCGTAAACATAACCTGTAACATTATTGAGGCCGCTTGGGTGTACTGCCGAGTATACCATGTTCTCGGTCTTGCCTTTCTCGGCGAATTCGGTTCTTACTGCGCAGTCTCCATTCAAAACATTCACGACAGTGGCGTTTGAGTTGGTTGATGATGTGACTTGCATTTGTACCATTGCTTGATTGACATAGAGTTTGTGAATGATCATTTGAAAGGAGATGTCGAATGAAACATCTTCACTATGGTTCCAAGTGAATGCCCAATTCATAATGCCTTGTTTGTAGTCCATCATGGATGAGAAGCCTGAAATAGTACTGATGCTGGTAGATGCATCAAGGTAGGTATCATCACCAAGATCAAGAACGATTCCTGCCCAATGTGGTATGCCACTGATGACGCTCTCTCCGCCATATTGATACAGCCATTCAAAGTTGGTGCCGTTGGTTCGCTCTTGCGAGTTCCAAAATCCTCCGATGGTGGCAAATGTCTGTCTTCGCGAAAAGAGTGGCCAGCCTCCAATGTTGTCCCCATCCACTGGTATGTCAACCTCGAAGAAAGGGCCTAACGCAGCTACGGTGGAGCCAATGTACCCATTTGCTAAAGCGATGCGATCCTGGTAGTGACCTTGATCCAAATTGGTGGTCTCGAGCTGCCAGTCTGCGTTATTCCAGGACACGTTGGCGAAGCGGGTAGGATAAACGGATCTGACATCTTGGGCAAAAACAAAAGTGAGATAGGAAAGTGACAGGATGAAACACGATCCAGAGGTTTGTGAGACACGCATCTTGTCTAGCGCAGCTTTTTCTTCGATCCTTGCATGAAAAACACAGTGAATGTACGATAGGAGCGAAAGTTGGAGGTGCTAATGGAAGTCGAAGAACAAAGCATCAGAGGCGCAAGGGTGGATGAAAGAACCTTATACGGGAGAGACTTTGGATGTCATTGTGACCACCATCATTGCTTTTAGCTTGCAGCAAAAGAGCTTTTCCGGTTGGATTTCCAGGGTAGCATCTGGATATCTTGCGCAACGTCACTGTTGCCACTGCCGGGGGGATGAGGCTTGGAAACAGTAATGTTAAGATGTATCTCACCGCCCTGCATGGGACAGGCTGTCCCAGTATTCTTGTCATCCGGCAGCGGTACCTGGGACTGTTGCCCCCGGGTTGTGTTCCTTAGCGAAGCCATCCTAACCGGACATGGTAAAAAGGCCGGCAGCCACATGGGCTTGGATTAAGCGTTGGTAAGCGAGAAATGCGGAGATCTTCAATGAGAATGCGGGGTACTTAGTCATGAGCTCTTTAACTTACCCCTTGCACATACCCTTGCCTCATCGTCACCATTGCCTCAGTACCATCCGTCCCACCAGGCTGTACCCGACCAGGCTGTACCCGACCAGGCTGTACCGACCAGGCTGTACCCCACCAGGCTGTACCTCTGGCGTACCTGAAGATGGATCTTCAACGGACTCGGAGCTTCACGGTCTCGTGAAGAAGCTTCATACTGGACACTGTAAGGGCTTATCATGATCTCCTCCCACCAAGAAAATGCTTTCGCTGGTGTAACGTCCTTGCAGTTGGAGCCCATGCAAGATCCTCGTGTCGTCAAGGATGCTATCAGTGCTTACGCCCTTTGCTTTGTAGCTTTTCGAGACTGTCGTCACGAAAGATTCTGTCTCGCCCTGATTGCAGGCTAAGCATGGCGACTCTCCCTGTTCGCAATGGTTATCAGTCCCTGGCTAGATGACATCCTTCAGTGTTTCATTGCTGGAGATAGTGGTCTTGACTTCATTCTTCCGTGCGCTAGGAGCGTTCAGGCCTCTTCGTTCTCGTCTGCCTCGTCAACTTCTTGCCTTGCTCTTCTGCTACCACCGCTCCTTCTCCTCCCTTGAAGATATCTCTCGGAGGTCGTGATCGCTTTTTCACCAACGAAATGCTTGCCATCCCATTCGACCTTGCAGATAGGACAATTCCGATTTCGCTGCATCCGGAAGAAGTTTGCGGTACAGATATCGTGTAGTCGACAAGGACATTCCCGCTTTGGGCATCGTTGACCCTGAGAAGTGCAATGTTATTTCTCTTGCTCCGTGCAAACCACTTGTCAATCACGCTCTGTGTTTCAACTCACCACTGTAACAATCTCCTTACAAGCCTGACAAAATTTAATCCTGTCTCCTCGGTCGTCGCTTTCGTCCTCAAGATCGTTGTAAGATTCCACCAGCCAGCCTCTCAACTCCATCAAAGCTCTTGGAGTCAAACTGTAGAATCCCTTCCCACTTTTCTCGAACCAACCCTCTTCAACCAATCTTCCCATCATTCCCTCCGCATCCCGCATACTTAACCCTTGACTCCCACCACCACCTTGGGTGTTCCCATTCTGCGTCTCCCTCCTCACCCCACCGGCCACCTTCGCCAAATTTACCGCCTCCGTCCCAGAAATACACATGGCCTCTGACCTCCTCGTATTCGCGGGCCCATCAAACATCCAATCCAGAACCCTCTTCACGAAGCCCATCTCTTCTACCGAATAGGTTGTCGCCATCTGCGTCAGCGCATCACTACTTGTATTCACAAGAGCATATACACGCTCCCTGCTACTCTGATGGAAAGTAGATCTGATCTCGAGATCGAGGGGTGAGAGAGCAAGATTCGCAGCGGAGACATAGGAACGGAGATCTGCTTCTGTGATGTCGTTGGGAAGGATCTCTCGGCCCTCGTGCACGGTGAAGATAGATGCTAGAAGTGGTTTGCTGGTCTCGTAGGTCAGGGTGCCGCGGGCGAGGAAGGCTTGGACGAAGGCACGATTGCTGTCGTTGTAGGACGATGAATCGTCCATACTGTGTCCCACAAGGAGGACCGCAAGAGACTCGAGGGGTGTGAGATTAAAGTTGATACCTGAGGTGCGGACCCGCGTTTCGAAGCACGCGTTGTGGAGTTTGCCGAGACCCGTCTAAACTCCAGATGCACTAGTAATGCAAAAACTTGCTTAAAATGGCAATTGTGTTTCTGTATCTAGCTCTGCTAAGAACTTATCTTCTCCATAAGTAACTAAGAGAATTATATCACCAATTCTCCTCGAGCAAGTCTTCGTAGCCGCCTCCTATGCAATGCTACGTTTCTCTCACCGAGCGAGGCTCTTATGGAGACCTCTCAAGCCTTGCCGACGCAGTTTCCACGACGACAAAGCAACCTTGATAAGCGTAGACATGAATGGACAAGTCGTTACCAATCAGTATCCTATTACTATAGGCGATCCTCATGAAGCCTATGTGATTATTCCACCCGAAATCGGTCGCACCTTTCAGACCATGACTGCAACACATTTGCACTCCGGCTCCAGCTTCGCTGTTCGTGATTCAGAGACCAAGTGCCCTTTATGGTTCTATCACAAGACGCGACATTTCGCCCATGGTGCTGAAGGCCCGTGCCTATCTAAACTATCTCGCTGCTAATCTCTGTCCGTCCTTTAGAATCGAGTCCCAACGTACCACGCCTCGAGCTTCCGCAAGATCTTCCACGCCAATCTAGTGACGACAAAAGTCCAGCAACATTATGGGTAGATGGTAACATGCATGAGATTACATTGAATGGCACTGCTGACGGTACCTGGTTCTCTGTCGATCCATTTGAAGTTTCTCTGATCTCACATAGAGGAATTCCCTGAGATGGCGGCAGAGACTGCCAAAAGACTCGGATTAACCTTGGATAAGTTGAAGGACATGTGAAATTGGGGGAAGAACTTGCACTTGTTGAGTCGCTTCATGGCTCCAGCGCGAAAAGAGACCTGTAATCTGGCAGGTGCATCGCTTCAGTTGATGCAGTCACGATAGATCTGGCTTCATCCGACTGAGCATTCAGGAAAACAGGACCAGTGGCATTGAATATGGTGGGCAAAGCAGAAAACTTGAAGAGTGTATCAGCTGCTGATCCAAGCCAAGACCACTTCACCCAACCCAAAAAGACCTGATATCGGCAAGGCGAAAATTCCTCGACAATGGCTACCAGAACAATCTCAAGCCCTTCCGCTTCTTTTAGATTCCTGACAACGGCCCAAGTCCTTCGCCTCCATAGTCGTTACATAAATCCATCTCAACCGGCAGTTCAACCTGCGCTCCTCGACTCGGCCACCCATGCTCCAGTCAATACCCTCTATTTTGGTTCTGCCAACCAACATAACGTCTTCTACCTCGCTGCAAACCTTGCCCAGAAGCTCATGCTGAATCACCCTTTCCAAGACGGGAACAAACGCACCTCGCTACTCACCGCCAGGGTTTTCCTTCGGATTAATGGGTACCAGATGAAGCCTATGGAAGATGGACCTGAGGTGAAAGGAAATGGTACGATGAAGCTTGAAGATGCAATTGTGGGAACTGTGACCAAAAGATTGGATGTGGGTATGCTAAAAGAGTATTTCGAGGCGATCAGCGAGGTAGTTGAGAAATGACAGATTCACTTGCGGGCAGCTATTGGTCTATGCGGAATTGTTACCCTGGTTCCATGCTGTCATAGGTATTGCTTTTGTCGCTGTTCTGGTATACGTAAAGGTTTCTTGTTGTGGTCATGATAAGGTCCATTTCTGAAGTGGTGCAGTCTACTGGTGCCCACCTTGGGCCGATTCATTGTTTTTAGCCTTCGTGGAAAAGGTACATTTGTGATGGGTGAGGGTTGTTCTGTTCGGGAAGGAGCCAATGACAGGCAGACCGAGACACTGGCACAGGTATTCTTGATCGATGACCATGTCTGAAGCAAGATAAGGGTAAGCCTCTTAAGTGCCGAAAGAAGTCAGCAGCCAAAAGTACTATTAGTAGGCTGGATTATGAGTGCCTTGTCTCCGTGCTTTCGGCGTTGGTTATCCGACCAGGATTCACCTTTTGCTTCTTGTACGTAGTAAGCGGCATTTCATCGATCCGAGCCCCTCCACGAGCAGGATCACTGCCGCTGTTGTGCAAGCTCCTCCCCCACAAAACGATCAAACCAATGATAAGCCCAAGTGATCCACTACCAGGGTAAAATGCATGTGAGCAGACCTTGGTGGGGCGAAGTTCTGGGGGATCCAGTGGAGCTATCAGACAGAACAGAGCAGATGACACTTGTACAACTTGCAAGGAGCCTCTTATTGTCCGTGAAGACCCGAAGTGATGACTGTCCAAAAGTGTCAGCGGGACCAATCGGGCTTGTGATGCATAACGATGCAACACGTGAAACTCGACCATTTTCCCTTTGTGGGGCATAAGTAGGTATGGGCGGTCAGCCTCAGCTGTAACCCTGCAAACCCATGGCCGCGGGTTTGAGTCATTGGATAGCAGGGTCACCCGGGGTTTCGAACCTCGAAACGCCGACACCTCCCCCCACACACACGGGGCCATGGTAGCTTTCCGTTCCGAATTGCGTGGTGCTCGAAACTTTCGGATGCGGTGCCCAACAATCCTCCGAGCCAACTCTCTAACCATTTCGAGTTTGACCTCGATGCTAGCCTTGATCAATTGGCCCGCTCCCCTGACCGCCCTCGGACAGTTCACGCGTTGACAGCTCAAGGGGAATGGGGAAGCTAAGCAGGGTTCATTGAGCAAATTGGAATCAGATCTTGGACAACTCGTGTTTGACGGGGGTTGCCAGGCTGAAGGATTTCAGGCTGCACCTGTCCTTGGCCTAATGGGAGGTGTCTGATGTTTTGGCTTCCGGTCTCGCAGACTAGGTATTGGAGATATGGTGGTTTTGTGAACTGAGATTGAAGGTGAACAGTATACAATTGGGAAAGTACGCATGGAGATACAATGGAAGTGTCACTATTGCCAAGCATGAGTCACAAATGTGTAAACATTGCATCTGTTGATGTTGAGCAGCGACAGTCTGGTAAGAATTTACAAAATATTTTCATTGTTTCAAAATCTCAGCCTCGGATCCTGAGGATACCAACGAGGAAAAGCTATCTAGCTATCTGAGTAGAGTAGAGTATATCAACCACTGATGGTCTGAGAGAAGGGTCAAACACAGGAAGCTAGGGCCGACATATTTCAATCGCGACTTCCTAGCCATTGTATTGAGCTTCATCCGATCATCATCTGGTTGCTGGAGTGCTCTGTGATCCTCCTTGCAACGCTTGCATTAGAAATAGTTTGGTATTGAAATGAAGAAACCCGCTTTTGACTCGCTGGAATCGCTTGCTTATGAAAGACGCCCAAATGCCGGTCCAAACCAGATACAATCGAACAACATGTGCTTAACAGGCAGCAATCATGGACGGTTGTGGTTCTTGGAGTTGTTGTGACCTTGATGGCAAGAAGAATCCCTCTTCAATGAAGGCTTCTTGTTGCGACTCTGATAATGATGCGTCCTTTTGTGGGTTGCCGATGGCTTGTCTTTGATGTTCTGTAAAAGCATCGAATGTGGTGGAGGGAGGTGATGGTGGCATAGGCTCGTCTTCGGAATCTGATTCGGAGTCTGAGCTCAACTCTGGGGGAGAATGTCGGGAAGCAGTTCGTGTAAGAGCGAGATCACCATAATCTTCTTCATCGTCCTCTTCAAAGTCTGCGTCCTCCTCGTTCACCTCGGTAACTGTGACATTTGGCGCTTGTGTGGTTGCTTCGATCATCTCTGCGTCCTCATCGTACTCTGAATCTGACTCGGACTCCGATTCATCGGCATCCTCCGCTTCCCAGTCGGCTTTAGGCTCCTCAACAGACTCTTCTGATTGTGATAGAGACTTGGCGAACCATTGTTCTTGCTCTTGCTCAGCGCTAGCGAGGTCGAGCATCAGGGAGTCGAGAAGGTTGGCATGACCGACCAAGAGTCGAAGATCATGGTCTGCCCGGGAAGCCTCCTTAGAGAGCTTGCCTCGAGCAGAGTGGGCGAGGAAGTAAGTCTGAGTGATGCTCATCTTCTGTTTCTTTGGGGGTCGAGTGTAGATAGAAGAGGATCGAGTTTTCGATTCGGCGGGAGTAGTGAAGTGAATAGAAGAAGGCATCTTGATGTGTATTTGTATCGTTGTTGGTGGGGAATTGCGTGAGTCAATGCCTAATAATATTTAGGCAAACAGAAATCTTAGCGTCGGCCTGGGTGCTAGGGACGGTTGTCTCGAAAGGGCAAGTCTCGTGAATGTTTCGAGTTAATATTGCAAAGGGTGGAGAGCGTTTCTTTGTTTGCTGATGTTGATGTCTGATGTGTGTGGTGGATCGGTGGATAGGTGGATTGAAGAACCTGAACTGGCAAGGGAAAGCAAGCTGACTTTGTATTCATCAGCTGTGAGGATACGATGGAAATGCCTTACTTCCGTGTCCGGAAAGTTGCAAGGAAGCGGAGCAATTAAGACCGCCCAGCCGAACTGTGCTACCGTCGCATCATGCCAGAGCCAGGGCTTAAGCACAAGTTACAGCCTTGAAGCTCGCAGTGTTAACTCCATTACGATCACCCTAACCCTCTTCAGGCCTTGTTTTGCGCGTGGATTGGAAATCCTCTTCGTCAGCCAACTAGTCACGTTAGCGAGTCACAGCTCTCATTCCTCCACGAGTCCACCCATCTCCGAGCTTCAACATAACGAACCAGGCTGTCCGGCCTTCAGCCTGCAGCCTGCGGCTTCTGCCCGACCGCGACCGAACACGGAGACAATGAAATTAATTCTCAAACGTTATCCTCCTCATAAGAAATCCAACACAATCGTCATGCACCTTAATTTCCATGACTCCAGTCAAACATCATGCGCTGGTATTATCGGAATTATTGCACCTACTTAGTACATTGGCATTGGACGTGATCTGACAAATGCATTTTTTGGTGACTGTGAACTCAAGCTGTCCTGCTTGGAAATCCAAACCTAGCTAATCCCTAAGCGGCACATTCTCCCCTCCACCATCAGTCATCACCATCAGCCATTATTGGCTGGATCCGATGACTCTTGATTTTGCCGGTCGACGAATGATTCATTGGGACACCTTTGACCACGAGCATCATCACCTCCTCCGCAATCTCATGCTGATTAGAAAGGTGCTCACGCCCTGTGAGCTTGAAATTGCAACATCGGCTCCGCCGCGAAGACGCATCACCGATCAAGCGAGGAATGCAACAAAGAGCTGCAATTACCGGATCACTAATGCCCGGAATAGGCAGCGGCATAAAACACCTTTAGGAGGATGCCAATAGTTTCAAGATGCCAACAACTTGTTGGCTTCTATCATCTCGATTTCACAGCTACTAGGCTTACGTATCCACAAACCTAGACAACGCGTCCAGCGGCTTGGAATAATTGTAACTTAGTTGTTTGCTGTGCTGCCATTGCGAATCCGCCAGCAACGTTCAGCGCCTTTCCCAACTCATCTCGCGTTGGCTTGGCGATTGGGAACAGCCATTATACAGATAGCCGGGCGACTCTGTCGATCATAGTTCGAAGCAAATCTTTAATATGCCGGTGCTTCAGCCGAAAGGCAGCTAATTACTATCTTCCAGGTACGTAGTAATGACATCTTGATGGGTGCAGCCACATTTTCCAACCTGTTTCCTTGGCGATAGACGAGTTAGAGTCATCGGCTTACTTATCTCCGTCCGCGGTCGCGGATTCAAACACCCTTGACGGATCAAAGCTGTCCACCATCAATTGAATGTTCCTACTCCCACCCTTTCGGTTGCATAAAATCAATAGCTGTAATGTAGAGTTTCGACTGAAACTTACTTCTGGTTACTCAATGGTCAAACTCTAAGAACAATGCAATGCTGTCCTGACCGCTCTCAGATGATTCTGCACAAAGGTTACAGTGGCTGCACCCTGAGCTGCATCCGCGTTTCCAAGGTGCAACCCCGCAGACCGCAGGGCGTCAACCATCATTTAACTAGCCAAGAATCAACAATCAGGCTACTACTAGTACTTGGGAGTCTACGGGGCGCTTGCCCAAATAGGAAAACTTCTCGACGTTTTCCAAAATTACTCCATCGAACTGCCACTTAAGAATACAGGCGTCCTGCCGCTTACCATCCGGTCGATTACCGCGATTCTCGTATCTTGAATGCCATAAGGGAATCCCTAGGCGCGTGAAGAAGTACAGCCTACCGCAAGGTGAGTTAGTTGGCAATATTGCTGTTGGCTTGAGTCGTGTCTCGTCCTTCTCAAGAGCATGACACGTCTTTTCATGTGACTACGACTTCCCCGAGGCTCATTCAGTTTAGGGGCTAGCACCAAGTAATTCCATTATACTTGCTCGCTTACTTACGTATACGTCGCGTCTTCTTTGTTGAGTCTTGACATCACGTTGGACCAACGGGACCGCGGCCTCTAGAGGGCCCGAAACCATCTTATGTCCACTAGAATATTACTACGTTATGGTTGAAAAAATGTCGATTACCAGTGTGGGGCCTTGGCGCCCGCGGCGTTATTTTATCCGAACTTTGTATTTAGATTTCCTTTAGCTACACACCCAATTGAGGCATTGAGCTGATATTGCTCTCCACTAGCCTTCTCTCCCGCCAAATTTCTCCGCCAACTTTCATCATCTGTGTCAGGACCACCGGCTTAAAAGGACCGCCGCTGGATGACTATTGCTCGCCGGCTATCAGGAGATAGACGCGGTATTGAGGGGCCAAGGACAGTAGTGGAGGGTACTGCTGAGATCCTCGTCCATGATATAATTCCGCCGCACACCTGAAGCCCAGGTTCATTTACTATTCTTATAATTTCTTGACCCATTCAGCCACACGCAGCCTCATAATCGCCGCTTCAATAGCCCCCTTTCTCTTCCAGTCATCATCTACCCAGTGACGATCCCAAGCAATTTCATCCACCCAGTCAAGGTTCTCCTTACAGGCGAGCTCTTCATCTTCCGCCGCGTCTGCGGAACCATGCCACCATGCTGTAATGTCCTCCATCACGTCTTCACTATCGCATGCCCTTGACCGCCGACTATCTGCCCAATTCCACCTCTGACTGTGCAGAAATCTCCTCAAGTCCCGGACACACTCCTTGATAGTGGACGTAATGTCCTCAAAGATATACAGTGGGGCGTCGCTATCAGGACAGGTCTCTTGCAAGCTCCAACACATCTGCTCCTTTCGGATGTGTAGCTCCATACCCCTCAGAGCAGGAAGCTGAGCCGTCACTCCCGCCAAAGCCTAAACCAATTGCTCCCTATCGCTGTCGCTCCACTCGTACCCTCTTTTGATAAAACCGCGGGTTCTATGGACGCCGGCTGCTTCTATTTGTGGGGCGAACCAACGAGGCTCATAGCGAGGAGCGATTGTGGGCCACGCATCGCAGTTAACCCAGAGGCGCAGAGGTGAGAGGGTGGACAAAGTGTCGAATGCCCCAAGGGAAGGCATGTGCCTCAAAGTCCACATGAAACTTGGAAAGTCGTGTATACTGATCTCAAAGACATTTTGGCGGTAGAAGATGTCCGCAGCTTCCGTGGCGAGGCTGAGGGACGAATAGACCGGATTCAAAAGCTGATGGGAATAGTTTAGCAGGTCAGTACAGCCGTGCACAGAATGATATCTCTTTGTGTCTTCCTTCCTGGTACTCGGGCACGTACGAGGTGTGATTGGACCTGATTGAAGGAGCACAAGTCTAGAGATCATGTAACGGATATCGGAAGGGAGATACAGAAGAGCTAAAGGATTGATAGTTGCCCGATATCCACACTGCCCCGGATAATCAATGCTTAGAGGTTTCCCGTGGCTAAACAAGTCCCAGGGGGTGAGAGTTCTCCGATCGTTCTTGGAGATCTCACGTTGCAAGAAATGTTCTTTAGCCACCCGAAGTTCCCTTTCCTCGGACGGCGGAAACCATTGAAAGGTGAAGTGTGCTCCACAAAGATCCAGAACTGGGTTGCTGGATGGGAGAGGAGCTTGTTCATGGACGAAATGTTCCACAGCACTCCATCCCCCCACAGGCCCACAATCTTCATCGAAGAGCAAGGAAGTCGTCTGAAACGAGGAGTAGTCGCGGCATATCAAGTCAAGTGAAGTCGGGTGGATATAGAGATAGGCCTGGGTGCGGGAATAGTGGGTTTCTCTCAAGAATATGTCAGACCTATAAGGGTCCCGTCCGAAGGCCACCAGACAGTCCTGGATTGGCTTATGATCGAAACCAACACGGAGACAGTCTAGCCTTTCCTTTTCATCAGCAGCGAGACTTTCGGAGAGTTGGTTCGGTCTTGGTAAGACAGGGACAGTATCGCGAGACGCTGAATTCGCTTCATCATACACAATGTCGAGGGCAGCTTTGTTCGTTGGAATAAGCCAGCATAACGTACAGCCACTCCCCGCCATGGCCGGATGTGGGTATCAGGCGGCGCTAATGGGTGAGATGGTGGATCGTCACCTGATCCTGGCCGCATATACTTCCCGAGCAGTGCTGAGGACGTAGTTCCTCCCTACCCGCCTAGTATGCGCCAGCCTTTTGGCGCCCCGGCTGAGATGCGCCCCTGCTGCAGTAGAGTTGCAGGTAACAGCTCTCTCTGCGAGATGTTCCATAGATACCAAGTTTCCTGCGAGCTCAGGTACCTATAGTACATGATGTATCCGTACGACCTTGTTGTTAACCTGGATTTGGGCGTCTTCTTCCTCGCACATTGAGATCTCTTTTCCGTCCACTATAGTGATGCTGTCACCGCGCTGATGAACGCCATTTGCCAGTGCGTCATGTGCGCTGTAGCTGCGCTGTCAAGATATCCCAGGTCCTTCCCTATCCCTTATGGATAAGTCCTGTCCTTTGGCGCTTGCGTGTACCACTCAATAACTTGGCCATGATCACCCGTAATTTCCCCTCCTAAGATGACAATAATTCCAGCCATATTCCTTGTCGCCGCTCAGCCCTTGATAACTTTATTGAGAAAAAGGAGGGTTAGGTATGAGATCCAGTTGCGGTTCATGTATGCACCTGCTATTTCACCGTGGGACTGCAAATTCTAGTTATCCAACTTCATTATGTCTCTTTGGACCTCGCCCTTCAAGGCCAAAGATCCGCGCATTCAACATAATAAATCAAATATGTAATTACCCCTATCCTGGTTTTCTGACCATGCGAAGTGGCGGGCGCGTGGGCGCGTGGGCGGCTCCGAAGACATCCGCATGCCACTTTGGTCGATGAAAATGCCACATCACCAATAATGGCAGTTGACTAGCAATATAGGGTTAAAAGTACATTGGAAGCGTCCTGCAGCAGCCGACATTGTAGATAGATATATCTATCTGGTCGTCGTGCCGACGAAGAGACTGCCATTGGCGTTGGCAAAGAGGTATCTGATCGATGAAAGTACCGAATGCGGTATTTCGGATGCCGACTTGGTCGAGTGTACACTAAAGTCATGAATTATGGTTGGTCCAGTGCTAGTATCTTCGATGACCACAAACCAAGGCTTGAAGTAACGAATAGTCAGTAGGAGAGTACTGGTAGACCTGAGTGATAGGACTTAGTCTGTTGATGTCATTGGTAGGCATTTGCTTGGACGCTTGACAGCTATTGGCCTGGATTTCCTACCTTATGCCCATCTCAACAGTGAGTCTAAGATCCAAGATTTGTCACGTGATTTCTGCTTGCTTGGTATAAGCCAGCTTAGTACTACGTAGCTTCTGCTCCTCCTACTTAACCCTTCTGATGCTTCCTACTCAAGACAATGGATCAATCTCAGCGGATCCACGATAGAACTGCAATACTCATAGGAGACTAGGCTGTATTGCAGTTGCTTGATTAATCCGGTCTCAGCAACCAGTATGCGGGATAGAAAGCCATGTATCCACTTCGTTACGCTCTGTTATGCTCTACAGCGAGCACCAAATTTGCTGTCGACAAAATGTGGCATCGGCATGAGCCAGCACTGACCAGCAGTCTCACCAAGCTGCAGTCAGCAGACTTCATCCTTCGTGTACCTCTTACATTGTGTCACGCATCCATGAGGAGAAACGTCATGACCTCTGAACTTCGAGAGATGACTTACTCAATTGTTGAACTTCCTCCAACGAGATGCTTCCTATCCTTGATGTAGCTCATAATTCATCCTTTTCAACCGTCCTCTTTGTCTCTTTTCCATCGTCCGGTTCACAAACTGCTGCTGTGCCAACCTCCATCCTATAAACACACTTCTCGCTTTCGCTGATGCGCCAGATTTCTTCCTGGGCACTACATGCCAGCAACACAACCGTGGATCTCGTCGGGCCGTTCCAGCAATGCTGACCATTTTCATACTTCAAGACCACCCTCTCACCGACTCCCAGCCCTTTACCCTCGGCGTCGACGTCGCTATCCACATATTCCGAGGCAATGCTCACAAAATTGCCCATAGTGGTGTCACCTCCTCCCTTTTTCGGTTTCTGCTTTGTCGAGCCTAGGAAGCAAAGTTCGTAAGTGTACTCGCCGCTGTCTTTGGTAATGCATTTATCCTTTAATGCACGGAAGACATCGTCAGCTCCATAATCTCTTTCGAGATCTGATTTGGCATTATTCAGATCGCTCTGGGTGGTTGTCAGTAACGTCTTGGCCGAGTCACGTCGGCTGCGGGCCGTAGTGACGGCGGGAGACTCGACACTGCTGCTGGAGCCAGGGTTGTCAGCGAGAATGCCGCTTTCGATGAGAAGGGTGCGGAAGGAGGTTATTTTCGAGTCAAGCCACACTCGTAGAGAAGGAGGGGCGTAAGCAGATAAGCCGTAGAGAATGCTTTCTGCTTCACCAGTGGTAGAATCATCGCCACTTTCCCATTCCACCCAATTGATCCCGTTGCTCTCGTCATCAGGCTTCGAAATCTCGTCGAGGTCCCGATCCTTGGCTGCCTCCCAGACGCCTTCCTTGTCGCGTGCGGCGTAGTCCTCCCATGCTCTGACTGCTCGCTTCACACCCTCATCGTTGAAATTGGGGTTGTACTCTTCCTTGAGGGCTGAAAGTGTTGTTTGCAGCTCTTTAAGTTGACCACTTAATGCATCCCTCTGTTTCCTCACTTCTACTAGATTCGACCTCAACTCCTCAATTCTAGCTTTTGCCAACCCAGCCAAGATACCTGCTCGTCCAGCTTTTCCAGCTTCGCCTCTCACCATCTTCGATTTCTCGCTCTTCTCCGTCTCTTCCAATACCTTTTCAGTCTCCTTCATCTTTTCCTCTGCGCTCTTCAACTTGTTCTCCAACTCGTCAACTCTACTCCTCGCTAGATGCCTCAAATTGGCCGCCTCAGCAACCAGTTCTTTCTTTCTCTTCATGGCAAGACCCAAAGCTTTTTTCCTTACGTCATCTTTCTTCCGCCACTCCTTCCCTATCTCCTTGCACTTGTCTGGACATGTAGTTCCGCCAACATGCTGCCATTCGTCTGAGCCATCGCAGCAAAGTGTGTGGTCGCATTTACCATCATTAACGGAATTGAACGGCAGGTAGGATGGAATGTGGCCTTTGTTTTTGCAATAAAAGCCAGGTAAAGCAAGAGTTATATTATCGCTCAGAGGATTCACGGAGGGGATGCGAGGAGATAAAGGAGATATGTGAGAACATGCTGAGGTGCCTGGTTCATCGCTGCCATCAGGGCAGTCACAGTAATCATCGTTGAGTTGTGAGATGGGTATTTTGTGCAGCGGATTAGAAATGCAGGAGAATTCGGTAGGAGACTTGTAAAACTTTGCGACTAGTAATAAAGAGTCAGATCTTGTTGGTCAACCTATGATCAGGAGTAAGGGAAATGGACGAACATTCAGGCCCCACGCCCCGTGGCCGTGTTGACTCTGAGGATCGTGTATCTGCTGCACATCGTGCGACCACTGTTAAGGAGAGGAGTATGAGATTTGCAGAGACTGTCATGATCGGCAGCAGAAAGGCCAGAGAGCAATACCCCTCGTTGGAAGTTCGTTGTTATTACTCTTTCTTTAGATTTCGGGCAATACGTGCCAAGCCTTCTCAGGGGCTCGAGCTATGGATGGAGTCAAACGTGTATAAATCCGTTTCCTACAGTAAAGTAGCTGTAGAATATCAAATTTACAAACCTACTTCGTTAGGCCACTTCAATGTAGGAATGAGAAAATGTAGTGCTGTAAGTCTCAATCATTCCACCAGTGCTGAACCTCGACCTCATTTATACTGGTTAATCTTCTCTCTACGCATTGCGGTCTACTGCGGGAACATCATCTGCCATGCCATCATCCTCAGCCTCAGAAGGTGGGGTCAGCATTGCCGCAGGCGCTTCGACTGTCCCAGAAGATAGGTCATCTTCTTCTACAACACCCTTGACCCTTCGTTGGTTGACATAGTCCTTCCCGGGGCTCTCCCACGTGAAATCCGCATAATTTCCAATCAATTCTCGAATACCTTTGGCTAACGTCCTGATCTGCTGCCTTCGTTGCAAACTCAAGTCGTGGTTGCTCAGCGCGTCATTAGGCGTTATCGAACCAGGTTCCGCATCGAGATCGTCGGCAAAGCCGTCTAGCACACTTCTCCAGACTCTCATAGTCTCATCTAATTCTTCTAGCTTGCTCACGCCTATGACGCTGACACCTAACCGTTCCCGCCTCGGCCACGAAGTAGAATAAACCGAGTCAGCTGACCCAAGTGGGTCGCCATGTGTACCTACCTTTGACCCTTCTCTCAACCAGCTTTCTAGAGCAAAGCGGACTGCAACCACTTCCAATTTCTCAGCTTGTTTATCGGTCCACTGACCCGCCAACTGGACCGCTTTGCGCAGGTCGTCAGGTGCGGGATGCCAGTTGCCTAAAGCGCCAACTGGAACGCCCTGTCGCCTCAGGAGCCCCATACCAAGAGGGCTTGCATTTGGCACCACATCGACACCAGCAGCGACCAATCGTGGGACACCTTCTGTTAAGAGTCTTGTATTCTGCAGTGTGAAGTTCGCGTACGACATGACCGCATCGAGGGGCTCGCCCGTCTCGCGAAGCACCATTTCGGCAAGATCGCAGAGGATGTGCACAGGATAGCCTGATATGCCCACGTATTTGACGGTGTGATCCTCATTCCGTATCCGCCGGAGCTCTCTCACTGCTTCTAGGACTTCCGCCGCCGAGACAAACTCCACATCGTGGCAGTACACCACGTCGAGAAAGCTTGTGCATAGACGCCTTAAGCTTCGGCGCACGCTGTGCCGGACCCATGAAGGCGAGTAGTCAAATTCACTGGCCGCAATGCGACCAACCTTGGTAAGGATGTGGTAGGAAGATCGTGGAAATTGGGATCGGACGAACTCAGTGTCGAGCGCGGTGCCCAGTAGTTCCTCCGCCGGGCCGTAGTAGGGTGATGTATCGAAGGCGCGAACTCCTAGCGAGAGCGCGCGATGGACGAGGTGCGTTGTCGGTAGAGCAAAGGGATCAGGATTGAACTGGAAGTTGAAAGTGGCTGTCCCAAAGACAAGGGGAGGCAAAGTATCAGAGAGTTTGGTCGGTGGCGCGGGCATCGCAGGAGTATCTTTGCGCAACCACTAAAAGTAAGAATGGATATATAAAATGCCTGCTGGGAGTCCCGGAAAGGAAAGAAAGGTAGGTTATGAAGAAGGGAAGGACAGGGTCATGAATATAGAGCGGAAGGAGTTTGCGCCGCAGATAGCAAGGCCAATTGCAGGTTCCTGTCTATCTTTTCGGAGATGTACGGCACGGACAAGACGATGGCTCCGATATCTGCTTGGAATAGACCCTGGGAGGTGCTTCATTGGTAGGGATTACCATCTCTATCCATGCGTCTTTGGTGCGAGGTATGTATCGTTCCAGTCCTTCCTCAAGACCTCGCCTTCAATTATGGTTAGAGGAAGTGGTGCCATCATATCTATGACGTACACATTGATCAAATGAATACTAGTTCCGTAACAGAGCCATGGATTGAGTGCCTAAAGGAAGAAAAGAATGCATGGGAAGCCCTGAGCGACCTTTCCAGAGCTGAATAATGCCAAATGTGACGGATAGGGAACCGCATGGGGTTGGACATCTTTAGCTTTCTTCGCACCGCCTCTAAGTTAGTAGATCATCGCCCATACTCGTAGTTCTCAACGGCCCGCAGTCCTGCATGACCCTTATTTAATAGGTACTAACTACTGATCACCTGCAGCCGAGTCTAATCCTTATTGTGTGATATAGAGGCTCGACAGTAGAACGAGCAGGATTTTTATCAGTGAATCAGTCATTGCCCGGCCATGAGAAGGACCCTTTCATCACTGCTCTCATAGGGCTAAGCAGCCCCTCTTCTATCCGGAATGGGCCAATGTTCGCACTAAGCAGCTCTCGACAATCTTGAGTAGAGATCTTTGCCGTGCTCAACGCTGTTTCCGTTTTTGATTATCATAGCCAGGCCCTCTTGCAGTCTCTTCAAACAAAGATTCCCAGCATATCTGTTTGTACATGAATCCCTAATCCTCAGCGTCCATCCGCCCTTTTGGACGTAAACCCGGGTCAGGGTAATATCAAACGCCATATAAATGCTCCTAATGGCTAAAAAGGCGGACCGCAACTCCGCGCTATGCAGGGAATTCATTTCAAGAGGTGGGATGTAGTGTAAACGACAGACGTTCGGAGGCGAATATGTGGATGTCCGGCGCTTTGATGAAATAACTTGAGCAAGAGTGGGTGTCATCGACCTTGTCACCCTTTAGCTTGGATCATCGATCTTGATAGACCTTGGGTCTCCAACCTTCTCTCAATTCCTGGTCCCTCGCCGCCTTGCGTTCTGCTTCCCGCACCTCCATCTCTATTCGTTCTCGCGCTCGTAATATCTTGCTCTGTAGGTAGAAGCTTCCACCCTTTTCCGGGTTGTTGAGATCGTAGAGTCTTTTGAACCGCTCCATTACGCTTTCCATATTGGTTTTGCCGGCCATTGGAGGTTTGACGTTGAGAATCTTACACGCTTCGTCGAGAGTAAGGCCAGAGGAGGCGAGGTTGTTCATGGCCTGCGGATTGTCTTTGGCAGCTGCTGAGGCATATTTTTGACTGGCCGACGCTTGCTTATAAGCTTCTGCGAATGCGCGTCCCAGTACTCGCGATCCGGTAATCACCACTTGAGCCAGTATTCGGTGCGCCTACATGTGGTCAGTATGTCAGAAGCCCCTAGGCACAAGACATTGAGACTCACCATAGAGGGGAGGAGATTGGAAGAAGAAAACACTCGTGGTGTCGCAAGTAAATAGGCGACAGGCTGGAACTGCAGTGGCGTTGATAGTGCAGCTCAACGCAGGAAGATCGCAGCCAAGTTGTACCTACGTACTATGGCATAAGAAGCAATGGCGGAGATGAAATTTTGATGTGCAAGGAGAACCGAGACCAGATCTCGCCTAAACTTGTGTGGGTTGCCTCTGTCCCGCTGCGGAGTCGCAGATGGAGGAGCAGATGCAGCATGTGACATGCTCAGATGCCCCCAATGTGGTGGCTGCTCCGATGCAATATCTCTCACAGCACCGGAGGAGAAGAATATCAATTCTCAATCTAGTCTCTTCGACTCCAAGGGCAGCATGGACTCGTGAGAGTAGTGAGAGCAGTGTGACGCCGTCCACTCCGCAGCTACCGCCTACCATGATCCACTTGATACTCATCTAATGACGCCGTTGCTCTCTGTTGTATGGCCGCACTTGGTACACTGCCTTCTTCAGTATGAATCTACCTTCAACTAACTATGTTTTGTAGATACACCCTGGCTCGCGTCCATGTCACCAGCATCGACATATACCTCGGACGATGGCCCTTCAGCTCCCTCCTATGATCCGAATCCTCCCACAGTTGCGGCCTTCTCCCCACAGAACCTCTCTGGAGCATCCACTTCTAAGCAACGTTCCACCATCATAGTACACAAGAAATCACCGCTACTCGTTGCGACGCCACCTCAGGTTACCAGAGCACTCGCCTACTCTCACCCTTTCCTCCTCCCGTTGAACCAACTCGTTGGACTTCTATCATGGAGCACCAACGATCCATGGGAAAGTTTTCTCCTTGTTGCTGGGTTTTGGGCAGTGACGCTCTATGGTGAAGAGCTTCTTCTCTGGACCGGGCCTATACTTGTGGTCATAGGCCTGATTCTTGGGATGTACTCGCGGCGGTACTCACCCCTCTCGTCAACTTCCCAAACTGGTGAAAAACATGGTCATAAAAGAGAGCCCTCAGATATAAAACCTGCCCATCACAAGAGTCTTGATGAGATAGTCGAGACGCTGCGTACCTTCACTACTCGCTGCAACATATTGCTCGAACCCTTCCTGTCCCTGACAGATTTCCTCTCCACACAACGCACGGCTACATCAGCAACCACTCGACCTGCACTCACAACGCTCTTCATTCGAATTCTCTTCGTTACCCCCATTTGGATAGTCCTCACTCTTCCGCCATTCTATATCCTCACTTCCCGCCGTATCATCCTCACCTTCGGCACCATCGCTCTCACATGGCACAGCCGCCCAGCCCGAGTGTCTCGTGTCATCCTCTGGCGGTCTCTGACTGTCCGGCGCATCTGCTCTTTTATCACCGGTCTCTCTTTCGGACAGGATCCTGTTGCCCCATTTGGTTCTTCAACCAGCAACAAGCTCACTCCACCACCCCTACCACCGCGCCGCAAATCAAAATCCCAAGACACCGCCGCGGCCGACCTCACCATGAAACATCGCGCGGCTTCACCAGGAGTCCGTTTCACATTCATTCTCTATGAGAATCAACGTCGATGGCTAGGTCTAGGCTGGACTTCTGCCATGCTCGCCTATGAGCGCGCATCCTGGACAGATGAACACCTCAATCCGGCACCCAGCAAAGATCGATTCGAGCTCCCATATGTAGAGAGCGAAACGGCGCGTTGGAGATGGGTTGAGGGCTCGACTTGGAAGATCGAAGGGGGAACCAACATCACAAACTCACCCACAAAATCATCCTCCAAGGGCCCAAAAACAAACCAGAGCTCCGCTGCTGATGACGGTGGTGGCTGGATCTATTACGATAACAAATGGAATGATGGGAAACGTGACGCAGATTCTTGGGGAAAATATACCCGACGGAGGAAATGGTACAGGGATGCAGAATTAGTAGAGGTTACGTCAAGTACAGAGGTCACCCCCAATGCAACGCCGAATGAGGCAGCTGCGTTGTCGGAAGTAGAGAAGGACAACGACAGTAATGATCAGAAGTTGAAGACTCGGCCCTCGCCGAGCAGGGAACCAAATCATAGAAAGACACCCTCTTCATCCGCTTCAACCTCTTTGCAACCCGGTACTTCCGGGGGTGATGCGCAACCGGAGAACGAGAAGGTCGACCTCGATTCCAGCAGTGCCAAAGCCTCCAGTAAACGGAAGAGCTGGTTCGGGAATGGCAAGAACAACAGGGAGAGACGGGACAGTAAGAGTAGCAGTCTCGGCAAGAAGAGCGGAGAAAGCGGGTCGAGCGTGCGGACGGACCCAGAAGATGATCATGTGGATCGCTGGAAGAGTCAGGAGAATGAGGGCGGAAGGACGTTTGGGCTGGGCGAGGATGCGGTCATGGGGCTGAGTTGATGATGTTTGAGAAGATGGGATCGGAGTGCCTGTGCTTATGTGGGGAGGGGTGTTCTGAAGAATCAGATCTCATTAGCGGTAGAGAGGTAGATAAATACCCAGCAGATGCGAGCATCTATCGAGAGTCTTGCTCTGATACCAGCACAACTTCAGATGGCAGTAACTGTGATCGTCAAGAGGGCTTTGACAAAAGAATTTTTCTTACCACCCTCTTGCCCGACTGTACTGCTCCATTGTAGATTTCCACTGCTGTTTAACAGTTATCGGGCAACCAGTATAAAAAAATCCCAAACATCAACTCTTGCTTTGGTCATGGAGCAATCTTATCTGGCAAACGCCAGTCATGGGGATCTTTGTCTGCGCACGCGATTCTGGAACAGAGTTCAGTCGATCTCCCCACAAACTGTTATGCCTACCAGGGGCTGCTGAGTGGGTAAAATCTAATATAGTTCAGCTGTCTGTGGTGGAATTTGCTAGAGGTAGAAGTAGAGGTAGAGGTAGAGGTAGAAGAAGAAGAAGAAGAGGAAGAGGAAGATCGATGGGATGTCCTGATTTGGGATTGGTTGGGACTGGACTTAGTGTTCTCTGTGTATATACTGGCATCTACATTGAAAAGAGTTATCGACATGATAGGACTTTCGTGTTCTCTGTGTGTCTGTTCTGCCATCTCTGCGTGTATCTTCTGTCATCTCTGCGTGTCTGTTCTGCCATCTCTGCGTGTCTGTTCTGCCATCTCTGCGTGTAACTTCTGCCATCTCTGCGTGTCTGTTCTGCCATCTCTGCGTGTAACTTCTGCCATCTCTGCGTGTCTGTTCTGCCATCTCTGCGTGTAACTTCTGCCATCTCTGCGTGTCTGTTCTGCCATCTCTGCGTGTAACTTCTGCCATCTCTGCGTGTCTGTTCTGCCATCTCTGCGTGTAACTTCTGCCATCTCTGCGTGTCTGTTCTGCCATCTCTGCGTGTAACTTCTGCCATCTCTGCGTGTCTGTTCTGCCATCTCTGCGTGTAACTTCTGCCATCTCTGCGTGTCTGTTCTGCCATCTCTGCGTGTAACTTCTGCCATCTCTGCGTGTCTGTTCTGCCATCTCTGCGTGTAACTTCTGCCATCTCTGCGTGTCTGTTCTGCCATCTCTGCGTGTAACTTCTGCCATCTCTGCGTGTCTGTTCTGCCATCTCTGCGTGTCTGTTCTGCCATCTCTGCTGTTCTAAATTCCCTTGGCGTCTCTGCTGTCGGATCCCGGCGTTTGTTGCTCCTCTTGATGGACGAATCAGAGTGGGAATGAGAGAAGTATGTTAGGCGCGTAAGACTGCTAAATCTGATTAGTGCCAGTGAATGTTGATGTTGTATTGCTTGCAGCCATTCATTTCATGGTTCCAACTTGTCATGAGTTCCAATTGAAGTCGAAATTCCACGGCAAGGCATTCGTTGTACCCTCGTCATCCACCCAGTTCGTCAACAATTGGTTGGTTATCAATGTGGTTGGCTGTGGCATGTGCATGGTCCCTGCAGCACTGAAAGTTGGCGGCACAATGCTCGCGTCCAAGGTGTTTTGCTGCATTGTGCTGATTGGAAAGCTGTGCGGAAAGTGAGTAGTAGGAAGCTGGCCACTCGGGGTATCTGTGTCGTTGGTACCGTTGAAAAACTCGTTTTGTCGAGGGACCCGAGAGAAATGTATATCAGAATTCATGGACAGATCAAATTGACGACTGTTGACGGCAGTGTCAAGACCATTGGTATCGATGGGCTGAGAATGCTCAATTCTGGGTGGTGTGAGCATTGGCCATGAGGAACTCTGAGGCTGTAGCTGCAGCTGCTGAGCTGACTGGTGGCCCGCGTAACCATCACTCAGCTCGTTCATACTTGTCTCGGGCGTCCAGTCCTTGCCAGATGGTACCGCGAGATAGTTTGTACTTCTAGGACTGAAGCCGGGCAGCTGATTTTCATGACGACCAAAGTCTTCTTGGAAATCTTTCTGCGGGTTCTGGGCATGGGGCTGAAACGCAGCCGATTGTCGTTTCTCAGGATTGCGGGCGGATGCTCTACTTTGAGGTGAACGTAGAGATTTTGTCTGGGTGAAGGTACACTTGGACTGGACCTTGCGGATTTTGCACTGATTGCACGGAAGACTTCGATCACACTACGATTGTGATCAGAATGCAATAAGTGAGCATGAAACAGCAAGGCCCTCGTATACCTTGACCTTCTTCTGACGACATTCCGAGCAGGAGACTGCTTCCCTGTATCTCTGTCTCTTCCTGCCCTCACCTTGAAGACTCTCTTCGGCGAAAGACTCCGCGGTGATGATATCGAAAGTAGCCATTCGCTCTTCCAGACTCTTGCTTCAATGTCAGTGGCCAACAGCTCTTGCTTGATCAGGCTGGACGACTGGCACGCCACGCTCAGAAGTCTACGATCACTGGTAGGACATCCCTTTTGACAATAGACATCTCACAGATAGATGAAACCGTAAGCTTCAAGGCCGTTGTCGGAAGGAACGATCCAGGCTCGACTCCACACCAACTTTCGGGACAACAGGGATGCCGTGCGACCTATGACTCTCCCGGCGCAGCGAGAACATGGTAGCATGGTGTGGTTCTGCTCGGGAGAACTCGACAGCTCCGACGTCCCAGCAGGCGCTAGCCAATCTCCAGTGTATCTGAGTTGGACCATTGAGCTGTACGAACGATCCGCTGTGGGAGCGGCACGTTCCTGACATGTTCGTGCTCAAGAATAGCCAAATATGGCCAAGATCCTTCAAACTATTCCTTTTCATGCTGGGAGCTTCATTGGGCTTGCTCGTATGGTCAGGTGGGATTTTTTCGACGTTATCAATGCAGGACCCTTGTATTTAGGATAGTCCTGGTCAAGTCTCGGGCCGCCGTTGTTAAACCGGATGACCGCCACCTCTAGCACCTTTTTCACCAACTTCTCATGCGGAGTTGCAGGAGTTGCAGGCTTTGGGACGTACATGGTGTGGTAGCCATGCAAGCCACCGATTTGTCATGCCTGATTTGGGCTTTAGCCTGGGATGGTGAAAAAGACCCAATAGATTGGCAATATTGCGGCTTTCACGTCGCCGGTCCGACGCCGCCTAGCTCAGAGTTTGTTGAGGTGGTTGAAGCAGTTCTGGCCAACGAGTATGCTCCTGGACAGCCTTGATGGCGCTGCCACTGAAATTCAATATCGTGAGAAGAGTTAGATGACAAGGATTCACGTAAAAGTTGAGGCCATATAAACCTCCCGCACATCAAGGTACAGGGCCGTTCTCGCCATTGCTCACATAATTCGGATCTCGGCCTATCTCAGTGTTGTGGAAGCGGCATAGTGATCTCCGGGGGAAGAGTTCCGTGCATGGATTAACCTTAGTCGCAGGAATTGATTGTACGTAGTATTATGAGGTGCTATGGTAGCCTGGTTGAGTACCTTAACGGAAGAAGCGAGGTGATTCGCGAAGACTCTTTGCGTTCATGCATGAGCGGCGAAAGTCTCACTCCTGAGGGAATATTCATTTAAGTTATGCTTGAGCATTCACCAATCAAATCGCAATCCGGAACAACAGAGTAGCTTCACGAGATGGTTGCCTGGGAGGACCGGGCATTGCTGCATTATCCTGTGAACTATGGGACATGCAAGGGCTCGCTAAAGGGCAGTTCCTATTGGATAAGGTCTTGGACCTAAGAGACTGCTCAAGCATTGTTGGATTTTGGTGAGTTTCTGTCGGTACCAAGAGCGAAAGGTGGACTCGCCAGAGTCGGAAGCCAAGTGCGTGGAATACCAGATGGCTGGGCCTGGAGTACGTTCATGGCTGGTCGGCGTTCGTAAAGATGCATGCCGAGCGTGCAAGGTATGTAAGCCCTGCCTTGTTATGGTGAGAAGGATCATCGCTGGGACTCAAACATGTTCACACGTACTGCGAGTCGATAATCTGACCATCTACCTAAGCAGAGGATGGGAGAAACCTTGCATGCTGTCCAGATTTTCTTGCAGTGCGACTTTATGAAAGCCCATATTCACGACTTCGAATATCCACTTGAATGGTGGGGACCTCACGTGGTCTGCGGTAGAAACGAAAGTCTAACATTGAGTAGCCAAGCCCATTTCTAAGGACTTAAGGTTCAGGAACAGCTGGTATTGAGAAAAGAAGGAGATCGCCTTGCTCATGCAGTGTTGTCCGTCCACGATGACGGCTGGGATGCACCAACTCCTCAGGGGTCAACCGGTTCCTTTTCCTGCCTTTGGCATTAGCAGAGCTCGCATCTGCCTACATGGGCAGGCAAGGTCGACGGATTGCGGATGTCGCATACATACGGACATCCGCTCATCATGGAACTCTAGAGCTTTTGGAGGTGGATGCGCCGCATTGTTGCAAACCAGATTATCTCAGCATACCTTGTTAGAGCCATCCTTGACATCACATAGGACCATCGCCTTTGCTGCTTCGGACAGACAACAGCATTGATACACAATTTGCTGACTCTACAGCTCCTCCCGCCCTTGTAATGGCAACAGGATTCGGCGACTGGGCCAAGCACTGGTCGCTGAAGTCTTGATTCGCTGAGAACGTGCACAAAACGTCTACAGAGATGACTGGTGGGATATTGTTGCGTGAGTAAACTTGTCTGAATCGAGCTGGGAAGGACCTGGAAAAAGACCCGGAACAGAGACGCAGTTGTCAGAAATGCCCTTTGCGAGTGTGCAGCCGCGTCAGCTGGAAAGACGCCTCCAAGCAAATGAGCAGTTGAGAGGTGCTATGATTTAGTTCTTGTTGAATTTGCGGCAAGAGGTCGAGATATACCAGCACTGTTGGAACAATTCTTCAGCATCATGCCTGATTTTGCCATGAGATTTGAACGTGGACGAGCCGACAAGACGTCAAACTTTCGGCCATAACTCTTCCTATGTAGTTTGGTTGCAACTTTTTCTCCAGCACCAACCACGTTCAGAAGGGCATGGGAAACACCGTGATCATCAACGTCTCAAAAAGCTTGACAGAGACGTACGGCTAGACTTGTGGGATGTAATTCTGAAAGTGCGAATCCATGGATCAGAGGCCCAACCAGTCGATGACGGTCGATCTGCAAAGCCCTATTTTCTGGCTTCCTATCCGTTGCCATTACGACTTTTCCGAAGCTCTTGAGTAAACGGATCAATTGCTCCCAGCCCAGGTCAAGGACTTGGGGAACGCGCATTCACCATCTGAAGCAGGCTTCCTGTCTGAGTACGGAGGGAAAGGCAAAAGAAGTTGGTGTTGCGTTCACACGCAGCATTATCGCGAGATACGGAACGTAAGCAGGCCTTGAAGTCTCCTGCTGCCGTACAACGTGGATTCCATTCATCTCTAGAGTGAGCCAGCTGCCTGGCAACAGTACGCTTTGTGTTTCACAATTTCAGTGCGTTCCTCCAACCGACCGCACAGGTATTGCTGGAAATGATAGCAGAGCTGATATCTCAATACAACATTTTCGAAGATGGTACGCAGAACCATTCGCTGGATGCAGAGCAACTCACGCACTGGAGGCCGGGACGTGTTTTTGAGCCCTTGTCCATGACAGAGTGTGTGTGTGGAAGAAGCGCCGTCCACAGCGCTAGGTTTTGGCAGACCACAGATTGTAGCAGAATAGGGCTGTGAATGGAAGGGACAAACGCGCTTCAAGTCTTGCGGCATTGCTACTGGCTGTCATCGTGATCATGGAGATGCAATGCCAAGTACGTTCAGAGATACATAGTACGGCACTGTAGAACACGAGAACCATTTGGGGATAATCTGGATATTAAGCAAATCCTAACGCATGCGTTGTCTGGGCGCAACTGTTCTGCCGTTTAGTTAGGGTCAAAATCTGCTCCCTCTCACAGTGACCTTCATCACTCCTCGAAGCTGAGATTGGATTTTGGAGGAATGCTTTTAATCCACTGACAGAAACTCCAGTTCTGGTCTTCCAGCTAACGTTTCGCATTGGGTCCAGTAGCCCAATTGGAAATTCAGGTGTGGTAGCTCCATAGATTGGAAGTCTGGCACGCAAATCATAATTGAAGTGGCTGGGGTTGAAAGTGCTCGGAAAATCGTGTCTATTCGGGGAAGCAAAGGCACTCTATGTGCATACTAAAGAAAGCGGGAGTTTCGTCATGAAATTTAACATCAGACTCAGTCGGAGAATGGTCAGTCCTGATGCCCGTCTAGCCAACCAGCAAGGATAGGAACCGTAACATGCGTTCGTTAACAACCCAATGTGAAGAATCATGCCCTATAAACTCCTTCCAAGCCCTCGACAGGGTGAGCAGTCGAACCACATGCACAAGAGACAAATATAACTGCAAACTGCACTACGAGCTCTGAACATCTCCGGCCTCACTGGTTTCGTGCTTGGGATGGGATCGGACATCTGAAGGAACAGAGGACGCTTGAGTCGATCCGCTTTGGTCGGAATCTGCATGCGGACGGGTCGTTATCTCCACATGAACACCATCCTCGCCCTTTTCATTATCACCTATCATGGCGGCAAGGCTGCGAAAATTGAACATGGGCTCAGTTCCAGCGCCCCCTCCAGGAGGAGTGTTCGAGCCCGTCATGGCTTGACTCGATCCGGGGTCCATGAGCGAGGAGGCCGAGGAGGAAGCGTTGGACATCTGTCGAAGATGAGATCGCTTAGATGGTTCAGACGCCAGGGCGTTGAACTGAAGAGATAAATCCTGCTGGCCAGTCGGCGCTGACGAACTGGAGAAATCTTGTAGATTCCGGTGTGTTATGCCGAGTGGCGGGGTACCGGTACGATCCACACCCTTTCCCTTACCACAAGTGATCGGTTCTTCCTCAATAAAAGATGAAGATGCACTTTCGACGCAAGCCAGCGGACTGCTTGGGCCGCTATCTGTACCAGCGTGGCTCGCATTCAGGTTGATCGCATGAAGACCGGCTTTTCTTGCTGCCTTTTCTGCCTTTTTGGTGTCCTTTTCCTTCTTCTTGGCTTCTTTTTTGGCCTCCTTTTCCTCCTTCCTCCTTCTGTCATCTTCCGCCGCAAGGCTCAATCGGATGGCTTCCATCATCATCATGTCTTCTAGCTCATCCATCCTACTTCTTCGTGAACTACTGCCACGAGGTGGGGGTAGGAATGGATTGAAGGAGCCGTCACTTTGGGGCCCCTGCTCCTGTTCTCTTGCATTATGCCTTTCAGCAAGAATAGCCAAAGCGTCAAGATGTGCAGAGTTGCCGTTGGCGTCGAAATTTTGCCGCCGTAATACATTCCTCCGTCCAAAGGGAGCAAACACTCGGGGATCCGGTTGACCCGATCCTCCCATCAAATATGCTGCTGTATGTAGAGCAGTAGCTGCCGCAGATCTTCTTGCCGCGTGAGCGCGAGCAGTTGCCAACTTGGAGGCCCAATCAGGCCTTATCTTATCCGTTGTGATGACCCCGGGAGCTGTAGCCGACAATGAGGTAGCCCTCCGTCTCGATGAGCTTGGTGATAACCCAGTCGATGACAAGGATGTTTGTGAAGACGTAGCAGAGCTTGCACCAAGTGGCTGAGACCCTGCGCTGTACGTCAAACCACGCCTGAATGGCGGTGGGGCATAAGTGATGCCGAATTCAGGCTGTTTGCAGAATGGGCAAGTGGCAACCTCGGATACAAGTTGTCCTTCCGATTCTAGGTCCCTGTCCCCTTCGGAAGCAGGAGGAGCGTTGGTATCTGGCTGCTCGTGTTCCGGAGGATGAGGGTCAGGTCGTTTGATCTGCACAAAACATTCTGAGCAAATGGGCTGGTCGCAGCAGCGGGTTGTGTTGAGGTATGGAGGATAATATAGAAAGCAAATTGGACACTCGGACGCGTCTTTGTACAGGAAGACCTCTATCGACTGCCCATTTACTGTCGGATCTCTGGGAAGGTGGAGTTCTCGTGGCGTCATGTCAGCTTGAGGGTTGCTTTTTGAAGAGGTGGTCAAAGAAGCAAGTGTCTTGGCCCTAGTCCTGAAGATAGGGGCGCTTGTTGGGGGTGAGCCTTGGGGCGAACCTTGTTGCGCGAATGAGGGCGTTGGATAAGACGAAGCACTTGAAGTGTAGGAAAGCGACCTCGCACTGCTCGGTACAGTGAGGCTCTTCGAATTTTGGTCGGATGGTTGGAGATTAATGGATGGGTCTGATTTTCCTTGAAACTCAAGCTCAGGAGGCACCTCATCTGCAGGTGGAATCGGCATGCCTCGAGCAGCAGCCATGAGCTGATGCTCTGCCCACGATTCGGAGAACTCATTCAGGCCTCTCCAGAAGGGAGCAAGTCGCCGCTCGATCTAGCACTACTGTTAGTGGTAAGGAGACATCTGATATAGGGAGATCACAACCATGAGTTGCCTAACGATGGCTTTGTTGTAGTCTTCGGTACCGACATATACACCTTGTGTCACTAAATAGCCACCATCAATATGCTCTTCCTTCATGCTGCGTTCACGTTCCTTCAGTCTTGCTGCCCTCTCTTTCTCAAGCTTACGTGCCTCTCGTTCTTGTTTCGTCTCTCTTCGCACTTCCAGACTTGAGACATCTCGCTCACTATTACTGCCAATGCCTAGGAACGAGAGATCTGGGCGACTCCCCCGACGTCCAGTTGAAGCGTACGACGCTAGAGGTGGTCGATCTGAGAGCTGGTCTGGAATGCGTTCTGTCCTCGACGTGGGAGCGCCGGTACTACTCGATTCAACGCCCACCCGAGCAGACGAGGCTGTTCCCTGCTGACGGGCCTCTTTAGTCTGCGAGTTCCCCATCTTGCTAGACGAGGCAGTCAAGCTGAGCTAGAGAAGCTTCAGATGGAGATAATGTCAGGAGCACAGCATCTGAGCCTGGTTGTCCATATCAGAAGGACATTGAGCTTAGATGTCGTTACCATCAGATGTCGATCAGTTAGCGAGATCAGTTATGCGAGGGGTGAGTCTCAATATCCCTGGAACCCCCGGGAAAACAGTAAGGGTTTATCATTTGGCACAATCTCTTCGGGCGAATCGTGGTCGAGAATAGATTATCCGGCAGTAGCATGAGTCCCTGGCAGTAGGGTGTTGGCTCATCATGAATTCTTCTATCTACACCGTTTGCCTTGTGGCAGAACTTGCGGGCGCAAATGCTGAGCCAAGGCCCGTTCCTGCTGCTGCAAACTTCTCCAAGTTCGGCCCCACGTGTCACACGAGTGTGAAGGATCGACTACAACGGTGCACGCACAACAGCCCCCTAAGCGCCCTCCATTCCACAACTGCCTGTTGGTGTTTCCGATTCTATCGTCCACTGCCCTATTCCAGAGTAAGAAAGAGTACGTGCCATGATTGAGGAGAAAGTGCGCCTTCACATTACACCGTTCTCCAAGGATTTGGCTCAGTCTATCGTATCCGCACAATCGAGCGTCGCGGCCGAGAGCATATCTTATCATACGCTTGACACCTTCCCCGAGCACAGTTACGGCTATATCGAGCTCCCGACCATGGAGGCCGAAAAGCTGAAGAAGAAGCTCAATGGATCAATACTGAAGGGCAAGAAACTACGAATTGAACATGCTCGTCCGCAAAAGCGGCGCTTCGAGCGCGAACAGGGAGAGGAAGGGCGTATTTCGCCTGTAGGGGAGGAATGTAGGCTGTCAAAGAAACCCAGAAAGTCAGTATCAGAGCTGCAGGGCCACGAGCTTGCACCGGAGAGAAAGGTAAAGAGGGGTTGGACTGAACCTGAAAAGGGAAATCGAATGGGCACCTCGAAATCCCGTTCGGCGTCTCGTGTGACTTCCAAATATACAGACAAACCTGAGTGCATGTTCCGTGTCCAACTGTCTCAACACAAGAAAATCGAAACAACTGGCTTGAGCACAACTAGGACGGACAAAGACATGAAGAAGGGAAAGAAAGCTACGGTTATCCATGAATTTGAGAAGTCTGTGATACAACCGTCATTTATAAGGAGTAACGTAGCTACTGGGAATGCTGGGGTTGCCGCGGAGTACATCAAGGGCAAGGGTTGGGTCGACACAAATGGCAATATCCTTGAAGAAAGCACAAGACAGCTGCGAAGTAGAAGTCGCACTGATCAGTCTCAACGCATGTACGAGGCTTCAGAAACCAAGGTCGTGAGGGAAATTCAAGCCCCTTTGAGCATTGAGCAGGGTTCACAGAGCGAAATTGATAGAAGCTGTGGCCAACCCAAGCAGACGTCGACGACGACACGGAAAGACCAAGTCTCAAGCGGTCACAAGAATGCTGTGAAAGAAGTCTTGGACGAAGAAACATCGTCATCAGGTACATCCTCCTCCGATTCAGAATCGTCGTTCGCAAGCGACGAAGGGCTCGCGCAAGAGGCAGAGCAGGAGCTTGCTTCAAAGTTAGATGAAGCGGAAGCTGAGCACCCTCGAATGTCCAAGGATGCTTCAGAGGCAACTCCAACACCAAGCGCTGCCGTTCATCCCCTTGAAGCACTGTTCAAGCGACCCGATCAAGCAGCTTCTCAGGCACGTGGCAGACGTCCGCTAGAGATAAAGACCAGTTTCAATTTCTTTGAGCCTGACGATGAGCAAACAGTACCTCAGACACCTTTCACAACCCGTGATCTTCAATTGAGAGGACTTCGGAGCGCAGCACCCACTCCGGACACAGCGCTGCCCACGCGTCGGTTCTTCTCAGAATCGATGTCTCCGAGCAGCGAAGCTGGCAATGATGATCGAGCAAACACAGAAGGACGATCTGGTGAGAAAGTGGAATCGGATGACTCCAGGGTGAATGAGGGGGAAAGTGGATTTGCCAAGTGGTTCTGGGAGCATCGAGGAGAGAACAATCGAGCCTGGAAACGGCGCAGAAGGGAGGCCTTGAAAGAAAAGCGCCAGAAGGAAAATAGGCAGAGAGGTCGCAGGAGTGGCTGAAGTCTGGCCGCAAGTTTCTCACTAAAGTTAGACAGCTTTGATTCCTGTGGCTCTGAATCCTGTAGCTCTGAACATGCCTGCTTTGCAATTGGAGTTACACTAAGTTAATCATAGCTCTCAAGGTCTTGATGTCCTTGGTCTCGTGTCCATTGGGAAAGCTATGACTGCTGTGTTTAGGGTGCTCTCCATATATTTCATTTGCTGCCACGGAATGTGGTACTCCATCACTACTTATCTACTCCGTACGGATACTACTTACTATACTACGTAGAATGTACTACTGGTACTAGTAGTAGAGTCATATCTTGGCAGAGCTTTTTTGGAGGTCATGGGCTTGGCGCACAGCTCCTAGAAGAACTTGTCCACCGGTATTAGAAGTCTGTATCGGAATAACTGAGCGGCATCCTGCAAAATCAATGGCTGCTGCTCGACTTTCTCCTGCAGCGAGTGTATTGAGAAATTCAAGGCTTTTCTCAATTCCACCTACTCTCAATCCTCCAACCTCTCTTACCTCTGATAGTGCGACTCAACCTTATCCAGCACATGCTGCAATAGAAACACCACCGAGCTCTTGGGACCGAGGAGACTGGGGATTCAAGCGATCATTACCCCTGAAGTCAACCACAAGGACAGGAACCACCACAATTCGCGTTCGGAAGGGCATCGACTCCGCCGAACACATCACCGATTTCGAGTCTGCTGGCGATCATGTGCTCACCCTGCGGAAATGGAAAGAGCTCCACTTGCCTTTGCGATTTACCAAGAAACGCACTCGAGACGAGAACACAAGCGTGTTTGAAGCCAGAGTGGATAACATCAGCTCATCTACATCATCTACCCATCGGAGATGGCGATATGATGGTCCTTGGTTGGCGGGACAGCCTGGTTGGGAGTTTGACGCGCTCTTGAAGAGGGTAAGAGCCCGCAAAGTGGAGTTTCAGGAATTCGTTCGGGCACGACTGAACGCAGAGAGAACTATATCTCGCCGGCAAGAAGCCATAGATGCTGGTCAAGATCTGAACAAAGAGCGAGTGGGAATAAGTGATGAAGAATTTGACGAGCATGTGCGCTATCTACGGGCAACGCCGTCCGCCTTTGGTCCACTCATTGCAGAGTTTTTAGATCTGCCAGAAGGTCCGAAGGGCACCGAAGGAGCGGCTTCACCCAAGGATGGCTTCTCGTACGGCAGGACAACGGTCGCAGCAGAGACGTACAGTGAGGCTGGTCCACCAAGAACACATCCATCTGCTGGTTTATCATACTACAGATCTGGTGCACATCTTCCCAATCACCCAACTTACGGTCCCCAGCAATTCAATGCACCCGTTGTCGCTCGCGTACTGAAACCCAGCATCAGAAGACGGATGGGTGATGTCGGTGTCGCTGGTTTCGTGATCCCCCCCGGGCCGGCCTCCCATCTCCTGGATACGAAACCTTGGCAACCGGTGCCTGGAGGTTTGAAGATGGTTGTGCGCCCTACAAAAGCAGCTATTGGCTCAGATGGAAGAGTCATGCTCAATGTTCTGAAAGCGAATGACGATTTAAAGAAAGTGTACAATACTTTCCTGGAGGACAAACCACGCGCCATGTCAGCAGTGAGCAAAACAAGAATGGCAAGCATGCCCCCACTCGACGAACAACGGCGCACGGAGACCAAAGCGTCCCGCGAAACAAAACCCCACCTAGACATGCTAGATAACCTCATGTACGCCAATGAGGATAGGGAGCACATTTGAGACACCACGGTAACAGACAGAGCGGAGAAGAATATGATCAACCAAACATGGAGCCCATAAACATGTCTGGCATTATCTGAACCGATCGAATTGCCTGCTATAATTGTAGACAGTCATTGCTTGGAGTCGATAGACACTATACATAATCAAAGCTGTATGATCCCCTTACGGTATTCCGTACTCCGCACTCAAGTACTAGTAGCATGATTGATTTTCCCCAAGACCTTGTCACGTGACCAGGGTATTCGAGGCCGATGGCACAAATCGATCCGCACTTTCAAAAATTCCCCAACTCACCAAGTTGAGACGCACACCATCTACTACTGATCACTGGTCACTGATCACTGATCTGCTTTGAAAGCTCTCATCATCATCATGGGTCGCGTCCGTACAAAGGCAAGCAGCCTCACCTTTGGAGCAACATGACCCAAACATAGCTATGTAACTCGCTAACAAAATTGTACTTCAGACGGTGAAGAAGTCGGCCAAGGTCATCATCGAGCGCTACTACCCCAAACTCACCCTCGATTTCGAGACCAACAAGAGATTATGTGATGAGATCGCCATCATCGCCTCCAAGCGGTTGCGCAACAAGGTTTGCAGGCATTTTCCTTTACATGATCCTATGCCCTCTGAATTTTAAAACCCCGCCACAATTGCTAACTAACCTCCCCTCGTTCTCGCATCAGATCGCCGGCTATACAACCCATCTCATGAAGCGGATCCAACGTGGCCCGGTGCGAGGCATCTCCTTCAAACTGCAGGAGGAAGAACGTGAGCGGAAGGATCAATACGTGCCCGAAGTTTCGGCTCTCGACTTCACCCAGAACACGGAAAACGGCACCCTGGATGTGGATGTGGACACTAAGGACCTGTTGAAGAGCATGGGCTTTGACCAGGTCAATGTCACCGTCGTGCCCGTCACACAGCAGCAGAGTGTCGAGAGGGGCGGGAGGAGGTTCCCCGGTGAGAGGCAGACGAGGACGTAGGGCGCGAGCTATGGTTCGAAATGTGGATGGTTGCTGTCATGCTGAGCGAGACAGATTGAAAGTCCCCCAATCTTCAGGTCGCCTTCAGATGCTTACGCTACCCGACGTCGGAGATTCTGCCAGAAATTCGTGGCTCTTCTTATCATAGCAAAAAGGACAGATTACACGGTGTCGCTTAGTCTTACGACGAAGCTTGATTGCCAAAAACCCCCATCCTCTCCTGTTCGTGAATTTCATTCACATTGAGATGGTACCCTAACATTCCCTCCCCACTCGGCTCATCCACACACGAGAAGTCGACAGACAGCTCATATCCATCCTGTATTGCCAAATTCGCCAGATCGAGGTCCAGCGAACATCAACTCCACACCCACCGAGTAGGAAAAATTATAGATACCGGCTAGTCTTCTTTTCGTTTGGCCTCACAGCCGCCATGCACGAGTCGTACACTTCCCTTCCCTTCCTTTCCACCACGGAAGCTCTGTAGCCAGGACGAAACTTACCGATGCCGTGGTCCTGATTGAGACAGATAATTACTGTTGCCATTGGCGCTTCGCTTTAGCCGTATGCTAACACGTCCAGCAAGAATTTCCCCCTTGTCTGCTTTGGTTGGAATCGAACTTTTTTGCATGTACGGTCCTGGGGATTGGGAGGGCCTTTCTGGCTGCAATATGGGCATGGATTGCGCTAGGATAGAGTCCTCAGATCATATACTACGTAGGTATGAGAGCAGAAGGGAGTGGTGTGCTGCGTGGCGTAGCGCAGCTAGGGATGTTTTGTAAACCCAGCGGATAGAGATAAGTTAGCCCATGTCATGCCGGATACATGCTTGAATTGCGAAAACCCTTATCTCAGTAGTAGTAGTAAAACTAATAATCTGTATCACTCCCAAGCCGTGACTACTAGACACTAACGTACCTGTTGTCGCCTGAGGGCAAAGCGTCTCACAGCGGCAACAACCAGCACGCACGCTCAAGTGGTGACAGTTTCATTTCGGACCTCCATCCCAACCCACCCAGCCGCGTCCGATGACCCTCCAAACCCTCACCTCCCCACTCTTCAAATCAGAGACCCTATAACTCTCCTCCCTCACCTTGGCCCCCTTGGCCGCCCCGTCCTTCTCCTTCCCATCCTTCCCCTTCTGCTCCCAGACCCGAATCTTCTTCTTGGTGCCATCCCAGTCCGCCACCACGGCCACGTGATCCGGCTTGCCCACTTCCATGCTGTACTTGGTGTGCAGACCACCCTTGTGGCCGGCAAACTTGGCATTTCGAAACGTGACGATGTCGCCCGGGCGGATCTCGTCGAACTGCTGCGTCGATGCGTTGGCCAGGTTGGAGTAGACGGGCGCCCCGTAGGCGCGCGTTCCCACGGGTTGGAGGACGTGAGGCGAGAGGGGCCGGAGGAGATGCAGGATTAGAGCGTGGGCGGTCCCGTCGCCTACGGTGATGGACGCTTTAGACGGGACAGATGAGGCGATACGCGTGCCGAACTGGGAGGAGGCGCTTTCAAGTTGGTCTTGTCGTGGGGGTGGAGGCGGCCGTTCGTGGCGTTGTTCTAATACCACGCTGGTGGGGTCCGAGGCGTCGAAGTTGGCGGTAATGACGGTTTGGGAGTAGTCCATATAGAGGATGTAGATGTCTTTGGAGATGGTGCTTTTACCGCCGCGTTTCGACGAAGTGGATGATTCAATCTCGTACAGGATGTCGTTTCGACTTTGTAGTGATGGCGGTGGGACGTCTGGAGTTTGTGCATACCACTGACTTGAGGGTGCTAGGTCAATATCTGTGGCCATGAATCCGTGCTCACTCGACGGTCGAGGCGCCTCCACCGACCTCCGAGCCGCGGTCTGTGACCTTAGAATATCCAGTGATTGACGTGGGATATTCTGCTGAGCATGAGGCGGCTGTATTGGCATCGAAGGTGGCGGCCCTTGGGCAGGTTGAAGTGGAGGAGCACGTGCAGATCGTGGAGATGCATCATAAAGCTCGTCGTCATCTACATCCGGCTCAGGAGGCTTGATAACAGGAGAGAATGGTTGACTTGACGTTGGTGATGAAATGTCATGGTCTGGTGCATGGTATTGATATGGGTCATACGCGTTCTCATCGTCCGCTTGAGGTGCTTCTTTTGGTGGTGGAATAGGAGGAGGGGCGGCTCGAGGCACGTCACTGGATTTTCTTGACTGCTTTCCTGTGTGTATAGATGGCGGTAGCGGAGGCACATCACGGGGTGCCGAGACATTTGGCGGTGGTGGAGGACCTCTGCCAGGAGGACTTGCACTCTGTTTGGAAGCTACCTGATCTGCTATAGTGTCGTCATCGAGACTCGAGTCTCGCGCATGGGATTTGAGCGCGTCTTTATGCTTAGCACTAGATGCAATATCCGTGTCATAATCGCCATCGTACTCTGTCACCTCTCCTTCACTGGCATCTGCTCCCTCCCGCTGTGTTGTCACGGGTATATGACGTGATTGAGACGTTGATTTTCGACTGGGTGGTTGTCCAGGGGGTGGTGGGGGTGGAGCTCGAAATTGCTGGGCGGAGCCTGTGATCGGACTGGATGGCGGCAGTGGGGGCAGGCCTCGACTGGTCCGCTTCTCTTTCTCCAAAGAAGAGGTTGGTGAAGTTTGACTTGGAAGGGAGGATTCTCCTTCAGGTCTCCCAGTTGGTAGCGGAGGTGCTGTCGAAGGCGGCAGGACATCTCTGCTCTGTGGTCGAGACGTCTCCTCCGCTATATTATGCTGCGACATGGGGCTCTCATGGAGGGACATTTCGTCGTCAGACAACTCGCCAGGGCTAAGAGGCATTGAGGATCTGGGTGGAGGTGGAGGTGGAGGTGCGCCTCGGCCTAACGAGCAAGATCAGTTAAGGAATGCTCCATCACCAACGCGACCTGATCATACCCTGAGGAAGAGAAGATGGCACTCCTGGGACAGGACGTTCCGCTGGCGTAGTTGGGGGTGGAGTCCTAGATTGCCGTGGAGGTGGAGGGGGAACAGCGCGTGCTGGAACATACATAAGTGAGAGCTGTGCATGTCAAGTTTGCTCATGCAAGAAGAAACATACCTTGAGCCAGAGGAGGTGGGGCACGGTCAGTGGAGCTTCTTGGTGGTGGTTTGGGAGGTTCGACAATCTCTTCATCTGACTGCTCTATTTCATCTGCCTGTTGTCCAGCATGCGTGTGCCTTGTACCTTCGTCGGCTGAGCTATCTTCTTCTGTCTGGGTAGGTTTTGGCTCGGGATTCTTGACATTGAACATCCCAGGGACAGGGACAGGAGGTGCACGCTCTATAGCTTCAGGTTGAAGCTGAGTACCGCTGACGTCTCTCTCACCCTCGCCACTGGCCCTCGCTTTCTTTCCGGGGGGAGGCATGCCACCTGGAGGTCCAAACATGCCCATCAGACCCATTCCTCCACTCATTTTGGCCATTCTTTCCCGAATCTCCATTCGGCGCTTGATCTCTGGATCCACGTCTTGCTCTTCCTGGGCCTCTTCATCACTTGCCTCGGCCTCGCCTGCTTCACTAACAAGCTCATCCTGTGTGGTCGTTACGTTGGCCCTTCTACCGGTCTCACGATTGTCCTCTCGACTTGTGGATGTGTCGTCCGCTTCTTCCGTGTCGCCAGCAGCGGAATTGTCAGCATCATTAGTGTCGCTCATGAGCTCGCGAGAAGGTGGTGGAGGAGTTGACATGTGAGCTGCAATAGAAGGCAGCCGACCTCCTTGTCTATCCAATGGTTCAGAGTCGTCATCCGCAAAGTCTACAGATTTCTTGCCAACGGTCTCAGGTATGTCGGAACCTTCCACATCAGCATCAGCAACTGCTTCTGAAGACTCAATGGGTTCCTGCGACTCGGTGCGCTTCTTTGCTGGTCGCTTTGGCTTCTCCTTCTTCTGCGCGGCCTCTGCATGCCGAGCAGCCTGTTCCAACTGCTGTTTCTGCAGAAGAGCTATCCGATCCTTCAGACTGGTTGGTTTAGGTCGATCATCCCCACCAACTTCGGCTCTTTCACCTGGCAAGGGCATCGAGGCTTCCGAATCTTCAGCTGTTTCATTTAAACCTGGATCCTCTTCTCTCCTGTACACCTTTGCCGGAGGGGGCTCTCGCGGCGGCGGAATGTAAGCATTCTTACTCGGCGGAGGTGCGACAAAGGGTTTCTTGATAAAACCAATAGTGTTGCTTGCCCCTTGGCCGCCTGGTTTAAAAGGAGCTATCGGGGGTGCAGCGGGTTTGTTGAACGCAGCAATCCGGTCCCGGAACGACCCTCCACTCGGCCTCTCGGAACTCTCAGTCGGAACATCCTTGTTGGCTGGCTTTGTTGGAGACGGCTCCGATGCCTTGGAAGCAGTGGTTGAAGAGACTTGACGAGCTGGTTGTTGTGTCGGGAAAGCTGATGCTGAGCTGCCTGATCGGGGGCTAGATACTTCATCAGGTCTTTTTTGAGAGTCTTCGCGCCCTTGTGCGGCTGTTACACCTACCGATGCGCCGTGCGTTGTCGCTGCTACCGGCGGGGGCGCGGGCGCTGGAATCTCTGCATCTTTCTTTGTCCTGGTCGGTCTTATAGGCCTCGAAGGTATCTCTGGCTCGTATTTCTCCACAAAATTCCGGGGAAAGATACCCTGGTGCTTTCCTCCTGTGGAATCCGCGTACTCGCCAGAGTACCAATCATTATCCTCCTCTTCGGTCACGGTAATGATCTGACCCTGGGGAAAGCTGAGGTCGTCGTCATGGGGCGAGGAATACTCGTATACTGCTTTGACTTTGAAAGGGACTGTTGCCATGACGGAGGGCCAGGCCGCTCCCCAGGTGGAAGACTTGCAAGGGCTTGGATGCTTCGGCGCAGGCAGAAATTGAGAGAACGCGAATCAAATCAGGGTGGAGGAGAACTGAGTAGTGAGTAAAGTTTCGTACACAGTAGGTAGGGTTTCGAGCTTAGAAGAAATATTGCGTACGCAAGAGGACAGGCTAAGTCCGTGGACTCCCAAAATGCTTCATAAGAGGACAGTGGTGAAACAAAGCAATTTGAATACTCAGATCCACCAGCAATCCAATGGAAAGTATTATATGCTCGCTGCCCCGCATGCAACGTCTACTGGTGGATGCTGCAAGATTAGGCCGGAAAGCTTGTCGATCAGGGGTCTTGAAGCAGGCCTGCGTACCTCGAAAGTCCGGTGTACTTACTTACTGCAAACCCTCTGGCAATCCCCAGAGCACGATGGGATTCAAAGGCACTGGCAGAGACAGCCTGCCAGAAATCTCCAAGCCCCAGTCGCTGCTTACTGATTGTTTTGTGCATAAATGCTTTACTGAACAAGGACCCGCCTTCAGTTGGAGCTGACGTTGCATACAGCACTCTGACCATCGTCCCTCTGAAGTCTGGACCGGAGGACCATGACTTCGTTCCTTGACTGCCTAAAGGCAGATAGTCCCTCTAGCTCAGACAACACGAACAAAGTTCAGGTCAACGATCGGCAGAGATCTACTGCGTTGAATTATGCTCGCAATATTCAGTACCACAAAAGCATGCAGGAGAGAGTTCTCGACCTGATCGTCAACACTGTTGATCTACCCTCACACTCTAATGCCGATCCAGCGCGACCGTTGGCATCCGATGCAGCATTGTTCAAACGAGCGCTGACTCTTTTCCAGCCAAAAGATTATGATGACATAATTCTCGAAAGGAATATCTACGAGAAGTGTGGCTACGCGTTGTGTCCCAAGCCAAATCTGAAGCAAGACCGCGATCTTAGGGATCGAACCTTTCGGAGCATGAAGCAAGGATGCAAGTTTAGGCTGAACACGAAGGAAGAGCTTGATAAGTGGTGCTCGCTGGAATGTGCCGAACGGGCATTGTTTGTTCGTCTACAGCTAAGGGCTGAACCTGCATGGCTTCGAAGTACCCCTACGGAGGACGTGAGATTACTCGAGGAGAGCGGGCAGAAGGCGGCGACAGAAGATTTGGTAGGCACCATGCAGGGCCTTGCACTAGAGGAGCCACTTGATGTCGATCTTGCTACCAGCTTGCAAAGTCTTGCGCTGGATCAAGCTAAGAAAAATGTCATCCAAGACCGTATTCACGCCTTGTCCATAGAACGCGACAAGAATCGAAGCACTGAGGTCGCCTCCGTAACCGCCACAGGCATTAAAGAGAAAGAAACGTTTGAGAACCCTTCAGCACCATCAGTGCCTCACCATGCAAGTGACTCTGTGGAGGGTTATCAGCCAAGAAACCTTCGTCTCGGTCAGCAAGCCGAGAGCAAAGGTTATAACGACTTTGACATGAACACGTGAAATTGGTTCAGCTACTTTATTGTCCACAGTATTTTCCCTGATTAGAACAGATAGCCACCCAGGGCTTCATGTCTTGATGAGCTACAAGACCCGAGGAAGGTCATGCATCCAGGCACTAGTTCATCGTGCAGCGGTACTGGGATGAAGCTTATTGGTAGGTACGAACGAACAAGCGGAAAGTCCATCAGGACGCCTGAAGCAGTGGACAAGAGCACTCTGGCCGCAGGTCGACTTCTCATTGGCAGTACTCAGGGGGTATCTACTGCTGATCTCTGTTCTTTGCCTGAAGCACCTCTTCATTTCGAGCTTCCTTCCAGGCCAACCACATTTTTTCACTGGGTAGCCTCCATGGAGAAGGAAGATTCTCGTGACACTGAAAATGTCTGGGACATTCCCAAAGGAGTATGTTTCAGTTGGAAGGCGAGCAGCTTGATCTTGAGCACTTGGGCAACGATCCAACACGTGCCATGCATGAGGCATCGACGGGACGAGGGTACCTACAGACTGGGTACAACTTGTGACCATCTTTTCCAAAAGAGACGCATGCAAGCAACCACAGAACCGGAAGAGAGGAATATGCACTCAGCTTACATTAAGTGCTGGTGTCTAACTCAACAGGCTTGGCTGCAACATGGAGCTCCGAAACCTCTGTAGACCAAAACAACCTTAAGAGAGCTCACTTCCTCAATTCATTTGAGTTGATGACTTGACAGTCCTTGTGCTTTTATCCATGAGCAACACAAACTTCCTGCCTTCATACAGGCGCCGCCTTGGATAGTACTCTGTAACTTGAAGCTGCCTTGAGCACCCTTTAAGACATGTTTGTGAAAACATCTCTATACTTCAGAAATTGACCCAGACCCTTCCACAAAGCTTGTTCACACAGCCACTCAAGGATGTGTTTTTGGAACTGGTGGGCTGGGCTACGCTGCTGCGGTTGAAGCCGGGAATGGCTGCGAACCTCAGAAAGTCCGGATTGAGATGGCTGATCATTCGCCTGATCGAGGCAGGAATTGACGACGAAGAGAGTCAATACGCCAATAGAGCAGATGCAATTCAAGTCCACTTCCGTTATATTCATGTTGCAAAGTAGGCTTTCTCCAGACATATCCTCTCACCCTCAAATGCCACCCAGTCGGATTGCGTGGTCGGTAACAGACCCATCTGACCAATCTTCCATACCCCTAATGCAAGCAGCATAAATTGCATTCCGACAAAAGTTGCCTTGACTAAAATCATTTTGCCCTTGTTACCCTCTGTCTCAAGCTTGGTGAATGTAGAGTTGGTGGCGGCGATTGCTTGTAATGGCCCTTTGAACAGCATGGCAACCATCATCAATGAAAAGATCTGGAAGGCTGTCATTCAACACCTGTCTATTGTGGCGTCGGCTTCAAACCGCACGTACCTGTAAAGAGTTTCCACTCATATAAGACATGATCAATTGCATAGGGAGCTGCTTGCCCGGCGCAAGAGCTATCTCCCATGACTTTTTGAGCTTTAAGATATCGGTTTCCTCCTGCGTCGGAGGCTTGCGGGCTGGAAGTTGCGAGGTTTTCTAGAGGCCTTCAGTATGCGCTTGTAGGAAGACCGGGGCTGCGACGGACCTGCTTGCCGCCAATAGCTCTCTGCGCGGAGAAGCCGGGGGGGTCTGGGATATTGGAAGTGTTCTTTGGCCGGGACGGGGGAGGATTGTTGAGCTCAACAGCCCATCGGGGAGGAGGTGGGGGTGGTGAGCTTTGTTTTCCTACGCCCATGGTTTGTGATGAATAGTTTTGTATGTCGCAAAGGATGATCGAAAATAAGTGTCGAAGGGAGCCGTAGATGCTACGGTAGGTTCTTGGAGATCAAATGGGGCCAATTTGGTAAGACGATCTGGTTTATGTAATCAATCCTTTTCGCGGTCTTGGCGGACTTCCAATTTGTCTCAGTTCTCAGCCGTGCTCCTTTGACTTGGTCGTTGACGAAGTCAGGGGGAGCGCCCAACACGTCTGAGGTCGAGAACTAAAATTACAGACAGATTTTTATTGAGCTTTATAAGCTATTCGCTTTTTGTTTTATCTCTGCTATAGTACTATAGCACAACCAAAATGACCGACTTAATACTTGTTGAAAACAGCAAGATGTGCGGCCTCGTTCAAAGTTTCGGGTCTGAGATTAACAGATAGCACATAGAAAGACGGTCACAGAAAGTAGCTTGCACAACGGCCTTCAAGCACTGCTAGAAGAGATTCGGCGCCAAGTCGACCAAGAACACGGTATTTCAGTTCTGGATGACAATAATACAGATGATTGTAGACTAAACCCGGAGCATAAATGCGACAGCGAAAGCGAGAGAACAGCAGGGAGGGCAAAGCGACAAGTAGAGTTGATTATTGATAAATTGTATGGGGTCATCCCAGCCAAGCTTCTCGTCCGATGTGGGTGCTCCAAACTCATTTCCCCTACTAACGTACAGAACCACTTGCCGGGCCACCCCACTTAGCGGGCCAATTTCTGCACACCAACGCGCAGGCATCCTCATATTTCGAACAGCTATAGCTCCACCAATATAGCTCCAAATGGACTCGTAGAAGGAGCATTTGGTTCAGAATACATTAAATAACGTTGATCTGTGGCTATTTAGCTCAATCTCTAAGGCTGCGGCCTACTATAATGTGCTGAAATTTACTGTGGCCTATCGACGTGTAGGACGACCCTTTAAGTGTTACGGCACAACCTGCGCTATGGCCCAAAGAGGCATAGCGCAGGACATAGCGTTGGCCAAGGATTTGCCTGTACGCGTACGGCCAAATCCTCCATGAGCGCTATACCGCATCCGGTATTAGGGCTAAAGGCTAGGGCTAGCTTGGCGCTCTACGCGCTTATATGTCTCTACGCCTTTTTAGCACTTAGATAGTTCATCTATCGCCTTACCACAAAATTATACAGTAGTTTATACACAGCTGTTTTGTGACTCTCCTACTTCTATAGCACCTTTATATTCTGTTATATAACCTTTTATATAACAATAATTTATTGGTTCCATGCAGCGCAAAATTACGCGAAAAATCCCTCAACTGCATCGCTGAACTGCTTTCTCGCAAGAAAGGATGGCATTTTGTCACCGCTACAGCATTGAGAGAGCAAGAAGACTCTGCAGAGGTAGACATCGCCAGATACTCTAGTCTGAAACTAAGACCGATGGAGAATACTTGGTTTTGCAAGGGGAATTTATGACGGCGCACCATGAGGCCAGTGGTGAGTTCTCTGATACCTCATAGGCGACGCTTTCCGATGTTCTTTATAGGGCAGATTGAAAGCGAGCACGATGACCATTGCTCGTTGTTCCTTAGCAAGACCATCGAGTGTCATTTGATCGGATCGATGAGTTGGCAGCGGATGCGCAGAATATATGGAAATGGACTATCCCCCTCAGCTCATCGCAGCTCGACGCCGGTGGATCGGCCATCGATAGCTACAAACAGCAATGCATTCTGAATCTCCAACGTGGCGAGAGTGATAACACCTATCAAGTACTGTACTAGTTTAGGAAGACGCTCCTATCTCGGTCTAAACGACTGATTGATCGACACTGTGAACTGGTTCTCTTGCTATGCTTACATTCTTTCGAAGACGCTTCCGGAAATCCTATCGCAGACTATTGCTAGGAGCAAAGTGGCAAAAGCTTTGAAGACGCTCAGACTGCTTTCTCGGCCGGTGACAAATCTTCAAATCTTGGTTCTAATTGCAAGAACGCTGTTGAGCTTTCAGTCTCTCCAATTTTGCCTCATTGCCCCTCCGGCTGCGATACAGATCCAGAGAAAGTATATTGTTCCGCTCCGAGTTGTGTGGGATCAACTAGGGTTGCCACCACCTTCCCAAGTAGGATATTAAATGTCTCACCAACGCTAGTTACCAGAGACGATGGGAGCTCTTTGGCAGGGTGATTGAGGGAATACTCCTATCCGTGTCCAGGGTGAAGGTGGTATGATGCCCAATAGATGCTTTTCTGGCACAGGTCAGATGTCTGGTTTCGTTATTTGGAGCTGATGGTTGGCCTTTGGAATTTGTAGGGCTTATTGGATGTATTTCTCGGTGTACATCAATATGCAACAGTGTGAACGCGCAAGTCCAATGCTAGACCAGCGTGATTGTTTGATGTCGCGCTGGATCGAACAACACTTCCGCAAGCGGAGGACCGTTACGATTGCGAACTTCAACAGATCCGACCCGTTCATATAACCCCGGCCAGCGGACCGAGGATGCCAATGCCAGTCCATATATATCACGATGTCTCTTGCGCCTCCTCACGAGCGGCAGAAATATTTCTGGCTTTCTCAACTGCGCCAAGTCCCTCGAGAATATAATCCATAGATCCTCATGCACATCAACCAGAGTGCAAAATGACCCACGGGGTGAGTCTTCAGTGAATCTGAAGGTTGTGCCAGTTATGGAAATCATAGCCTGTGGGTCTGTATCGGGGCCATCACTCAGCCTCGTATCTCTCAGCACTGCAACACATGCTAGGTCTTCTACCAGGGCCGTACTCAGCATGGAGATGTCTCCATTGACAGCGGTCCAAGACCACGAGGGACCTGCAAGCGCTCGGTCTGGATGATCTTCTTTAATCTTCCATGCAAGCTCCTTAGGCATGAAAGGCTCCCACAACCCAGCGATGTTCCGCCAACCAGTAGACCTCTCAAACGCCCGAATTATCCCGGTAAGAGCAATCAGCCTGTCAGTCTTTTCCGTCAACTTGGCTCTGGTATAAGCAAATAAAATTTTGTGCCATAATCGCCAGATTGCCTCCTTAGACTCATTGGACAACTGGGCCGACCCTGTCCTTTGCAAAACCATAGTTGAAAAGTCGTGTTTGAATCCTAACTTCTTGTAACCATCAACCCTCCCAGTCTCTTCACAAAAATGCTCGCGACATTCCCAGAAAATTCGTGAGCCGAAGCTGAGAGTCCTTGGGGATAAGAGCCATTCCTGCACAGCCCATCCTCTCATATGCAGAGCAGAATTGTCAAGGTCGGCGCGGAGATCATCGTTGGGAGATAGACTAGGTTCTGCCCAGATTGTCCTCCCCCCCAAGTCGGTTGTCATTTGACAACGCTGGTAAAGAAGGGGGTCCCGTTTGGCGAAAAGCCCTAAATTACTGCTTACTGCACCCACAGCGGCAATGCACAAGAAACAATTTTGATACACGTCGACCATTGATTCTGCTTCTCGAGCCCAATCAACGAAGGAGTCCTGGATTATACACAGCGAATCAACCCAAAGCCACCTTAAACCCAGCCTTCGAGCGATATAAATCGCGTCTTGTATAGTTTGAGGCACCTCTTGAATACCTATTCCAGCTTGCAGCTTCGTCATAGTCGATGAAGTCAGCCTATATCCCGAAGAATTTCCCCAGCAGTAACTGACTGCAGCGTATTTGGTTCCAAAGAAGCTATCATCAGTCAAAACCACTTTCACCTGATTGGTCCCATCTTCTTCGCTCAAATCGAGAAGTCTCTTAGGCAACGCAGAGGCATAATTAACAGCTGGCTGGCAGCTTCGATGTCTCGTCACGCACAGCTCCAGCCAACTGGCAACTAAATGAAGAGTGGAACTGGATGAGGTGGTGATGCTCATTGGCGCTGCAGAAACCGGTATTGACGAAGAAACTGATGGTTCCATGTCAGCCAGTGCCAAGAATCGAAGTTCGTCCTGCCATAAACGCAGGAAAAGGTATATCTCATGAAGGATGCTTCCAGAAATTTCTGAGCTAATTTTCAAGGCCGAGGGCTTGTCCGCGGGTTCACCAACTAAATCTGATGCATGGATGCCGACTCTTATATGTCGTTCCTGACGTATCCGTTTCAACATTGACTCGCGCTCTTGACGACCATTCCGAAAATCTGCCTGGTGCTTTATAGCTCGCCAGAAGAGTGTACATAAATGACATCCTTTCAAGTAAGCTTGCTCGAGGCCAGCACCAGTGTCATAATGATTAAAAATTTGTGGCAGCGGCTGCTTTTTGACTTCCTGGTTGTGTTGTAGCCATACGCGGATCGGTTTGCACTTTGAGCATAACATATGGGGAACAATAACAGTATTTGCCTGTAGGCTGATGTCCTTCCTTGGAGCGGGGATGAATTCTCCCGGCAAAGTGACCGGTCTTTGTGGTTGTTCTCCACAAAGGTCCGGTAGAGCCGTGTTTGAAGCGAGGGCATTCATGCTAACCGAAGCGTGGACACATTGAACTCAGTCTTGAATATGATCCCATTCTTATCCTGCTGTAGTAAAAACTACCGTTGATCTGGGCTCTGTAATAGGCGCTACGTATCACCTTTTGCTGAGGAACCCCCCATTTTGTCACGTGCTTGCCCTACTTGGTGTGTAACTAGTAGAATAGCTTACGTTGCGCCTTGACCAACTTCATACTCAATTCAAATACCCAGTTTACCCTATCCATGATATAATCACTTTCCTTCCAACTCCCAGGATGACGAAGGAATACAGGGCAAAGGAAGTTTGTAGAGAAGCTTAAGGTTGTTAAGCTGTTGCCAGCAAATTAATAATGCCGTAAGACGAAGCGCATTGGAGCTAGTATCAGACGACGTCTACTGTGAAGCCGTGCCTTTCTTTACTCAGGAGTGCCCCCAAAGGACGCTGCCACGATGACTTCGAACCAGGGAGACGCGAAGCTGTTTGCAAGGGTAAGCACAGCACCAAGTCCAGATCGTTCCTGCTATTCAAGTCGTCATGGAGCACACCAGGAATCTCTGAATCTTTTCGCTGTTTTGGGTTCTTATTTAATGTTCGTTTATGTCCTGCACCATGCCTTCTCGGTTCTCTATTCAGTCTGGTGCAGTTCCAAAGTCATTCCTGGAGGGGGCAGGCATTGAAGCTAGGCTTCCAGCACCGCCGCTGTCCAGAGAAAAGTGGAAATGTCTTGCCTCCAGCGCCGAGGACGATTCAATACTGAACGGTAGCTTACACAAGAGATTTCCACAGGGCAAAGTCGCAGAGCTACGCCAGGAATTGAACAGTGGAGGGAAGAAGGACAAGAACAACTCAGCAAAGAAGATTGCGCTGAAGAAGATTATTGCAAACATGACGATGAGCAATAATGATATGGTGGCACTCTTCCCAGATATTATTGCCTGCATGGAGATACCAAGTTTGGAGATCAAGAAGATGTGAGCAACCTCCTGACGTCCTAGGTAGCTGGCTCATCGCCGCTTCAGGTGCTTTCTGTTCCTGGTGAACTACTCTAGGATGAAGCCAGACGCTGCGTTGAAGGCTCTCCCTTTGCTCGCAGAGGTAGGTTCATCTCCATGGTTGGCAGAACAAGCGCTGAAATGGCTTCACAGGATATGGGGGACGCTAATCCTCTGGTTAGAGCTCTGGCTTTGCGGACCATGTCATACATTCATGTCAAAGAATTTGTTGACGGCACAGTGGCACCCTTGAAAAAGCTTATGACAGATGGTGATCCATATGTCCGAAAGACGGCAGCTTTTTGCGTTGCAAAAGTCTATGACCATGATAAACAGCTTGTGGAAAAGTCGGATCTCATCGATCGACTAAACAAAATGCTGAAAGATGAGAATCCGACAGTGGTTGCCAGCGCCTTGGCCGCGCTCATGGACATCTGGGAGAGAAGTGAAAGCATCAAGTTGACCATTGACTACGCCAGTGCGTCGAAAATCGTCTCCATATTATCTGACTGTTCTGAGTCGGTCTATCCTTCAAACCGATGAACCCCCTACTAATTGTTGATAGATGGGGCCAGACTTACATCCTGGAATCAATGATGTCGTACGTACCGCAAGATTCTGGAGAAGCTCTTCTTCTTGCCGAGAGAATAGCACCGAGACTCTCCCACTCCAACTCAGCCGTCGCTTTGACATGTATCCGGGTTATACTCTACCTTATGAATTATATCGCGGATGAAAAGCAAATCACTTCGCTATCCCGCAAGCTCTCTCCACCCCTCGTTACCCTTCTCTCCAAAGGACCAGAGGTTCAATACCTTGCCCTTCGAAATGCAATTCTTATCCTCCAGCGACGCCCCGAAGTTCTTCGAAGCGACATACGAGTATTCTTTTGCAAGTACAACGATCCCATCTACGTCAAGGTGACGAAGCTGGAGCTCATCTTCATGCTGGCCAACGCACAGAACATCTCTGTTGTTCTAGCAGAGCTCCGAGAGTATGCCACCGAGATCGATGTTCACTTCGTAAGGAAAGCAGTCCGTGCCATAGGCAAATTGGCCATTAAGATTGAATCTGCCGCCCGTCAATGCATCGACACCTTGCTGGAACTGGTCAAAGCCAAGATTCCTTACATCGTCCAAGAAGCCACAGTAGTCATCCGCAACATTTTCCGCAAATACCCCAACCAGTACGAATCCATCATCACCACCGTCATCGACCAGGTAGACGAGCTTGATGAACCCGAAGCAAAAGCCGCAATCATCTGGATCATAGGCCAGTACGCCGATCGCATAGATCAAAGCGACGAGCTCCTCAAAGACTATCTCTCCACCTTCCACGACGAGCCCATCGAGGTCCAACTTGCTCTCCTCACCGCAACAGTCAAACTCTTTATCCTCCGCCCTACAAAAGCTTCCGCCCTCGTCCCCCAGGTCCTGAAATGGTGCACAGAGGAAACAGACGACCCGGACCTCCGCGACCGTGGATTCATGTACTGGCGTCTCCTCTCCACGGACCCCGCAACAGCGAAGAAAGTTGTCATGGGGCCCAAACCACCCATCACCGCTGAATCGGAGAAGCTGGACCAAGCAACCCTGGAAGAGCTATGTCTTAGTGTCGGTACCCTGGCGACTGTATACCTGAAACCAGTCCACCAAGTCTTCCGCGGCGCGCGACCCCGGAGACTGATTGAGAGCCCTGCCCTGCAAAAACAGAAACCGGATCCTAACGTGCCAGAGAGTCCATCTCTGTCCTTTGGCCCGTTCATCAACCCTACTGGTCCGCAAGCGAGATCTCCAACTTCACCCCAACAACAGCCACAAGAACAACAGACGTCGAACGGCCTAGCCGCCGCAGTTGATGCCGCGGACCTGTATTTCCAGGGTTTAGGGAACCAGCAAATGGCAGCCATGAGCTTAGGAGGGAACAACGGTGTGGCTGGTGGTGGAGCGGGCAATATGCTGAGCAGCCCCACGGATGGCGGGTACGGAGGGGGTCATGGACCCCAGACAGGCTATGTGGTTAACCAGAATCAGCCGCAGATTGCCGGGGGTGAGGATTTGTTGTTATAGAGGAGAAGGACAAGGTTGGAACGGGATTGGTGGAGCTGGGACAGGCATGGTCATTCGTTCCATTTAGCTGAAGTCCTTCGTGTGTGTGGCAGCTGGAAGCTGGAATAGTACTTCAACGGCATCTTATCATTACAATCGACATTTGCATTCTAGCGGCGTCTATCAATACTGGAGCTCATCCCCTGCACTGCATCTCTCACTTCCTGGGCGGCTTCGTCGGGAGCTGACCTGTCCCCTCCTGATCCTGATCCGGATCCGGCTCCGGCTCCGCTGAACCAAGTGGTAGGATTCCAACTCCCCCCACTGGTCGTCCGCCTCCCAGCACCAGCACTCTGCCTCTGCCTCTGCCTCTCCTCGCTCCGCGGTGTAGCGCTCTTGTCTTCTTCATCCTCGAGTTCCTCCCTCTCGATATTGTGAAACGAGTTATCACTCCGGTTCTTCCGCATCCCGGCCCCACCATGACCACCACTACTCTCATCGTATCCTGAGCCTGAGCCCGAGCCCGAGCCAGATCGGAAGAGCACACGTCTGCCGGGCGGCGCATTACCGTAGGCGAGATCGAGGTCGCGTTGTTCGCGGTCGAGGGCTCTCATTAGGACGGCTAGTTTCTCGCGCTGCGCGGAGAGGAAGGTTTGTTTGTCGGTGGGGCTGGTGAGGTGGGTTGGGATTAGAGGGTTGGGATTGTTGCTGCTGCTGTTGCTGTTCGATGGGTTGGTGGTGCTACGGCTGCC